GCGTCGGATTCGTAGTAGGAGCCCTTGCGGCAGATGCGGTCGAAGAGCTCGCCGCCGAGGGCCAGGTCCGTGACGAGGTAGAGGTTGTTCATCGTCTCGAAGTAGTCGACCAGCGTCAGGATGTTCTGGTGGCCCATGGAGACCTTTTTGAGGACGGCGATTTCATTGCGAACCTGCGCTCTCGCAACCAGCTGTATTAGCACATGTTCCGGGTTCTGTCCTCTTGTAGTTTCCTACAGGAAGAGGAATGAAAAATGGCGAGCCAGATGCAAAAGAGTCTCGCATACCATGTGTTCTCGCCCCGCCATCAGTCGCTTGTTGATAACTTTGGCGGCGTAATAGCGGCCGGTGTCGATGTGGACGCATTCCTTGACGACCGAGTACGAGCCCGCGCCCAGAGTCTTCCCGACCTTGTATCTGCAAGGCTGGACCTGCGGCTGCTGCTGAGGCTGCTGGCGGCTCATCGTGGGCGACCCGTGGAAAAGTCGGGCGCGCGATGGCGAAGGAACTGAGAGAGGCTCGGGTGGTGAGAGGTGTGAGACGGAGTTTCGATCGAGGCAGAGGCGTCGATTTATCGGCGACGGAAAAAGGAGAATGGCGGCGGATACGGGGGGGGTACAAGACGAGCCCTGTTGATGCGGCGAGAGGAAAAAGGATGCTTGTAGTTTTTGGTGAACTTGTGCGCAAAACGATAAAAGAACGGATGCAATGCTGGGATCTGGACGGCGAAAGGGGAGTTCGGAGTAGTTTGGCGGTCTTGCAAGTTGAGACCAGGTGGGGGAGGGGCCAAGGGGGGAGCCTAATGTAGAGTAGATACAAGCACTTTCGGCCTATCAAGCTGCGATTCCAGAGGCTGATGACCTGAGCAGAGCAAGAGGCTGACGGATCTGGTTCACTGACGCGGGCAAACACAGCACCGAGAGAAAGAAGAGGCCGCTTAGAGCTTAGTAGTCGCAAGGATTTACGAGGGAAGAAAAGGTACCCAAAGGTGCAGTCATGCGCTGTACGTCGTATTTGGGGGCACGGCTGTAGGAGGGCTGGTTCTGCAGAGGGAGCTACCACTTAAAGTTCCAACTGCGGGAGCTGGAGAAGAGAGCTTGGGAGTATCGCCACACGTCTGCCAGTTCGAGTGGTATGATGGGGGAGCTGTCGAGACATGCTTTTTACCCTACAAGGAAACCTGCGGATTATCAAGTCAAGGTGGCGATAGCAGCAATTCAAGGCGCGATATTCAGGTTTTTGAAGACGAGGTACGAAATCAGTGCTCTTGTTGATTTCAGCGGCGCAATGCTTCGTACTAAGAAGCACCATAATACCAAATTCCGCAGCTGTGCCTTAGATCAGTAGTACCCTAGTAATGTGCCAACTATCTACAGTACAATCTGGTCCTCTGCAGTAGTATATAGCAAAGGCTGAACAGGCGCGCAGATAGATCATGCAGATATGCGTCTTATTCGTGCAAACCCAGCCGTTTGGGTGCCTTCAATGTCTCTTCGTGATGCGGCTGACGGGAGTGAAAGAGACCCCAAGCCTGCATGCGCCTGGCCACGCTGAAATGGCCATGACGCACTATTCGCTGTAACTCGGGTTTCTTGCTGTTTGTTACTTAGAACGACTCGGTTGATCTGAGTCTTGCCATGTGTCGAGTCTGTATATTGCGTCTCTGAGCGATTGAATCAGGCCCTTGCTCCTTTCCTAGTCACAGGAACTTGAGGCTGTGGGAGTTGAGCGCAAAAATCCAATGTCTCGGAGCTGAACGATAACGACGAGAGTAAGCTTACATGGCAGCCATATCCAGATCCAGATCCAACATGCAACAGCCAACTAAGAAGAAAGACATTGTTGCCTGAAATTCACAGACCTCTTAGATTTCGCTATTCCGGTGGGCCTCTTCGCGACTGCTTTTTGGCGCTGTTGAATTTCTTGTCCTGGACGCGCGCCTCATGAAACCGCTTCTCTCTGTTGCATCCATTATTAGCACATCCAAATTTTCCTGACGACGGGGAACGCCCAACTTACATGTCCTGGTGCTTCTTCTTTTTCTCAGCGCTGGTCTCGGCGGGAGTCATTTGGCGGTAGATGCCCATGACCTCGTCTATGAGCTTTCGTCTGTTCTCGTCCAGGTTGGCGGATCTTGACCGATGAGCCTGCGCCGAGAACGTGAGAGAGTCATTGCCGGCAGTGTAGTACTTGGAGGACCGCACTGCGGAATGGAGATATTTGGGGAGAACGGCGAGAAGCTCTTTCACGGGGATTACAGTGATTGCCTTGGTTTCGGTTCTGCGGATGGTCGGCTGCAGTCAGTAATCGAGATGCCCCGTCTTACATTCACTCCAGGTAATCCGTCATTGGGAAGAAAGAAGAGGCTTCCATACTTGTTGACGTGCTGGCCGCCAGGACCGCTGGATCTTGCATACGTCGTATTGCCTTTAGGCAGCTGAGACGCATCAAATGAACTGTACCACAGCCGTGCCTCGGCCAGGGCGTCCTGATCCAGCTGAGCATCGTAAGCCTCGTAGCGTTTAAATCTCACTGGCTGAGATAACGACAGCCTCGGCTGCCGCGGTGCGACGGCAGCCAGCGCTGTTCTCTTTGGCAGACGAGATAGCAGGAACATTGTGATACTGGACCAGTGCAAAGAATCTCAGGTGTCTCGCATCGCATATGTCGGCCCTAGCGAGATGCTTAATCGTGCCTTATCGGTGCATTTCTCGCCGATCTATCTGGTGGTTCGCAGCGCCAGCGTCCCCAGTGTCGATGCTTTGATCCAGTCCCTGGATGCCGTAGTACCAAGCAGCAACCTGGAAAACGAACAGGGACGATGAGATATGGTAGATAGCCCGGAACAGCAAGTCAAGAACGACGTAATGATCTTGGAAAGACTACGACACGAAGGCCAGTTTGAAGCAAGTGTAAGTTCGATTTTCTCTCTCTTCCCCCGGTACAGTAAGGCCCCGCACTGCCGACCAAAAGAGGACTAGCCAGGTGGCAGAAATCTGAGGCTCCTTCTGCCGTAACAGATCAAAGCTTTGCCGGCTTTTCTGCCTCTGCCTTTACTTCCTCTGCTTCTGCTTCCTCTCCCTTCAACCAACTGCCGCCAGCCCTCGGACTTCTCTTCAACGTAGCCTCAACCACGGCGCGGCGCATTTCAGTCTCGGCTCGCAGCCTGTCTCCGTCTCCCGTCCCGCAGCGCCGAGGGTGTTTGTTCGAATCCCGTGACTCGACGCCAGTCTCTCGTAGCCGGACGCCTTATCCGTGTCGCAAAAGCAGCAGAATCATCCCATCTCCTCCCACCACCGCCAGACTACTATTACTACTACTACTACTACCACGAGTACTACCCCTAGCATTTGCCTGCAGCTTCAGGGAATCCTTGCGCGCCCGCCTCAACAATCAGCCCCACATCGAACCACCGTCGACAAGCAGGTGATAATTATCCCTCTCTCAGTCGCCGGCAACAGCTGCTCCCATACCAGCCTCTGCGCGGATGCCAACTGCCCAGCCTCGCGCCCCCTTGAATCTCATCTAGCCAGCGATCCCCCAGCGTTTACATGCCAGAGCCGGAGCCGCAAGCCGAAGCTACTCTGCACGCCACAGCTAACCTCTCGCCCGTCTCCCCCTCGCCCGTCCACTCGGCCGCGCCTCTTGTGGTGCCAGCGCTGCAGCACACGGTCGATACCATCGACGCCATGGTCGCTGCTGCTGCGTCGCTTCCCGGCGGGACGGCCGACGCCCCTGCCATCGACCCTTCCCTCGCGCCTGCTGGTGAGCCCGACGAAGTCGTAGATGATGACAGCTTCAGCGATGCCTACGGCGAAGAGACAGAGGACGTGGCCGTAGAGCCGCCGCGGCAGGAGCTCGTCGACAACAACGACGACTACGCCAAGACGTTTGACTCTCCTATCGGCCCCGAGGAAGGGGAAGACCAAGATGTATCATCAGTACCACGAGAATCCAACGAGATCTCATCATCCATGATAGCCGAGCATTTGACTAGTCGCCCATCAGACGTCTCTCATACCGCTGCTGATCCATCCGCCTCTGCTGCTGTCCCAGCCGCTGCTGCTCAGAACCCATCTCTCTCTACCGCACAGCCCGCAGCCGGTCCTGAGCCCGCCATGTTGCAGTCGGGCGATGCACACTCTTCCTCCATCCCGTCTGCGGCTCAGTCCACGCCGCCCGGAGCTGGCCCTGCCAGGCGAGCCTCCGAGGCCTCTTCATCTCTTGACATCCAACAGCTCGTGGCTGATCTCACTGCCCATCCCTCTGAGTCTGGCCCCGAGAACCCTGACCCAACACCGGCTCCTCGCGCGACGGCGGATGTCCTGGCAGCATCCAACCCATTCCCCTCAACTACTGCTGCTACCTCAACCACCACCGCCGCCACTACCACAATTCCTTCTGCTCTGCCATCTTCCTCGTCTCTCCCACCGCGCCCTCCCCTGCCGCAGGCCGCTCCCCCATCGTATGCTTCCTCGCACCATCCTCTCGGAGCCAATGCCAATGTCTCAGGAGGCGCCGGCGCGCCCTCCACTTTTGCTCTTGCTGGTGCCCCTGGAACCTCGTCTGAAGCTCTGGGGAGCCTTCCGCCCCATCCTAGCACGGCCATGAGCGCCTCGGCTACTGCATCGTCCATGAACTCTTCTTCCTATGCCTCCAAAACACCAGGATACCCTGCTGATCGATCCCAAGATGCCGACTATCAGCGGCAGTGGGATCAGTTCATGGCCGATGAGCGACAGTACATGTCGGAGGCTAAGTGGGATCGGTTTCCAGAAGGCTCGCGCATCTTTATCGGTTAGTGACTTCGCCTCGAGCCCTCGTGTTTCCTCCCATTCTTCCAAGTGTATACGCCCGCGTACATGCTAACCGTGATTTCTGTAGGAAATCTTTCCAGCGACAAGGTTTCAAAGCGTGATGTGTTTGACATATTTCACAGATATGGTAGGCTGGCCCAGATCTCTCTCAAGTCGGCGTATGGGTTCGTTCAGTATCACACCGTCGAGGAAGGCCGTAACGCTCTGGAAAACCTTCAGGGCATGGAAGTGAAAGGCCGGCGCATTCGTAAGTGATGCCCAAACTCCCCGCCCAACTTATCCCCGTCTCCTTTTCTTCCCTTTACTTTATCGATTCTGACCATTGGGCAGATTTGGAAATCTCCCGGCTCCAGGATAAGTCCAAAAAGGAAAGGAACCGTAGTTCGGAGCGGCCTCGAGGACGGGAGACTGGCCGTAGAGGAGAAAAGTACCGTGATGACAATCGGCCACCGCGCAACCACTCGCCTCGCCGTAGCAATGAATACTATGGCAGAGCCGACAGGGGTAACAGGACCGATAGCTACGGCCGCGATCGAGGATACTACGACTCGGACAGAAACCGTGGCCGCTCGCGATCTCCCAATGGATATGCCAGAAACGATAAGGACTCGTACCGCAGGAGAAGCCCCAGCCCCTACAGCAGGGCGCGGCATGAGCCGGAGCTTGATCTGCCCCGTCGATACGGTGCAGACGTCCCAGACGTGCAAATCATCATGCAGCCAGATGTCAACCGGGAGTTTGGCACTTGGGTTGAAGGCGCCTTCAAGGCCAAAGGGCTGAGGACCAACGTCATGTATCTTCACCCGCGGTTTCCGAAGGACCAGGTCATCCAACGGCAGGCGGCCGAGGGCGTGCACGGGGTTGTAGACCTGGATGTCCGCGCCCAAGGCCTGGGCCGGATCCCCGTCCATTCATTCGACCGCTCTGGCGGCATCCACAACGTCCGCTTCGAGCAGTACGTCGACCTGGAGCCAAGCACGGCGGCCGAGGTCATTCTGCGAGCCAAGGCATCCGGCACGGCGGGCTACGGCCAACCATATGGAGGAGGCGGTGGATATGCCACCCAGCCGCAGCAGTATGGCGCGCAGGCCCCGCAACCTCCTCACGTAGCTGCGTATCCTGGTCTGCAGCAGCACGGCTCGTATCCAACGCAGCCCGCGCCATCAGCCGCCGACCTCGCGGCGCTCATCGGCCAGGTGGACAACAACACGCTGCAGAGGCTTCTGTCCACCATTCAGGCCGGATCTTCGGGAGCGATGCCCGGCGGACTTGCCAAGCCGGCTGCGCCAGCGGCAGTTGATCTCCAGGCGATACTAGGCTCTCTTAACGGGGGAGCGGCACCGCAGCAGCACCATGGAGCCCATCCCCAGATGCCGTACGGCGTGCCATATGGTGGTGGTCAGCACGCGCCTGTTCCTCCTGTGGGTGTGGCGCCGCAGGCAGCAGGCACCGGCGACGCGGCGACTCAGGTGCAGAACATCATGGCCCAATTGGCTCGTTATCGCCAGTGATTGCAGCCTGCTATCTCCTTTACGATTCCGTTTCCTTTCTAATAGCTTTGCGTTTGCTGCCGCCCTCTTCCGACTAGATCCCGGAAACTTTGGCCACACGAATGATTGACGCTGGTTTTATTTCAGATTCTGATACCACACGGAGGCCTGACTCAATTGCTTTATATTTCACTTCGGACCAGGGCACCCTACGGACATTGAGATGTGGTCCGAGGAAAATAGATAGAAGATGCTAGGGAATGGGCTTGGTACGCCCCATTGGATTCGCTCGCATCCTTTTTTGCTCTCTTCATCCATTGATTTTGCTCTGCTTTTCACGCAACCAAAGCCGGACAGACGGTCTGCAGAGGGTATCGACGTTGTAAAGAGAGGCATGATGTCAAATGAGAATTCATGATATTTTGACCATGTCCAAGTTCTGCCCGTGGAGAGTGAATGTTTAGTGAAACTTATGCAGCATAATATCTAAATATCTATCTATAGACGAGTAAACATGCGGAGTAAGCCATGCCTCTTTCTCTGTCTATGAGGTCTTCCATCTCGTCAAGCTCAAGCTTTATCATCACCATCCAAAACTCTCGTTGTGCCACCACACCTCGCGGCCCTTGAAGACCCACGGCCCGACCCGTCGCCGCACATCCCTCGCCATCTCGTCCGGCCCGCAGACTAGGATGGCCACTTTCTCGTCCGCGCCGTGACGGAAAAGGTCGTCGACGATCCTCTGGAAGTTGGGACGTCTGCTGTTGCTGCTGCTGCTCTGCCGGCGGCGGGAGGCGCCGTGCATGTCTTGCAGCTCGATGGAGGACGGAGAAGGCGTGGTGGTGGTGGTGGGTGCATCATGACCCATGATGTTCTCCGTGAGGTAGAGGTGGACGTTGTCATCGTCCAGGAGGGACTTTTCGTCGTCACCGCCGCCGGCGCCGGCGCCGGCGAGGGGGGCCATGGCCCAGGTCGCGTCGGCGGCGGAGCGGATGGCCCAGACGAAGTGGATGTGGGACGAGGGCAGCTCGCGCTGGAGGGCGTGGTAGAGCGGGAGGGCAAAGGTGGCGCCGACGCCGCCTGCGACGAGGAGGATGCGGGAGGCGCCCCATGTGAGGAGGTGCTGGAAGTGTTTGCCTATGGCGCCGTGGGGGCCTTCTATGGCGAGGGTGATTGTGTTGTTGTTGTTGGTGTCCCCTGGATATGCTGATGTGGGTAGTGATGCTGTGGAGGATGAGGAAGAGGATGAAGGGGAGGCGACTTGGGAGAGCATGTTGGTCATGGGTCCGGTGCGTCTTCTGGCTACCAGGGTGATGGTCTGGTTGTCCTGGCTGGCGGAGGCGACGGTGAAGGGGTTGAAGAGGAGGTCGAAGATGAATGATTTGGACACCGGATGCTGGCTTGTTCTGCCCTCGGGGGGCAGGCTGAGGTAGACATGAGAGCCCGGGCGCGAGCGGAACTTGTCGATCTTGTGGGCGGGCATGGGGGCGGTGATCTTGATGAGGTTTGTTCCCGGGACGATCTCGACTGTGGAGGCCGTGTGCGTGATGCCGATTTTGCGCACCGCAATGTCGAGGAGGAACACGAGGAGGCTCTCGGCGACGTATAAGCGGGCCGAGTGGGCGTGGAAGAAGAGCAGCACGGGGGCAAGCAAGGCGACGCCCAGGTGGGTGATGAAGAAGACGCGGTACGAGAACCTCCTTACGCGAACCAGGGCGGTGCCCATGAGGGCGTGGAGGGCGACGGCGGCGAGGACGCCGCAGAAGACGACGGGGGCGAAGAAGCGCTTGACCCAGATGCCGGAGAGGATAAAGAAGACGTTGTAGAAGACGATGTGGGCGGCGACGAGGGCGTAGATGACGCGGCCGAGGACGCGGTGGTAGCGGTTGACGTGCTCGTGGGAGGAGGCGAAGGCGTAGGCGTAGGGGTTGAGGGCCTTGAGGGAGAGGAGGTACTGGATGGGGAGCTGGGAGACTGCGATTGAGCCGAAGCGTTTGGTGAGGTGGAGGTAGTCTGTGGGTGCGTTAGTGATGCTGCGAGTTATGATGACTTGAAATGTGTATGAGATCTCATATGAGATTTTCACACATTGAATCTCGGTATAAGAAAGGACATGATGGCTCACCTTGACCAGTCTCCAAGACGCACAGAACCAGCAGCACGCCCGTCCAGACGAGGCCCAGCACCCACTCATCCCGCTGGCCCCATCGCACGCCTCGCACGACGACGTCGTCGCCCAGCCACCAGGTCAGGGCCCTCCATCTGGCCGCCAGCAGGCCGAGGCCAGAGCTGCGCTGGGCCTTGACGGTGGGCGAGCCGGGGACGTGCGCATAGCGGCCGCGGCTGCCGTCATCGTGGCCGAGGCGGGGCAGGAATCTTGCGGAGGCGCGGACGGCGAGGCGGAGGAGGGTGAGGAGGACGGCCGGGGCGAGGGCGGCGAGGTGGGCGATGAGGGCGTAGCGATCGATGGTTTGGCGGCGGAGGAGGACGTCTTGCTTGGAGAGGGTGAGGAAGTGGTACGGCCAGCCCATGGTCCCTTTTTTTTTCGTTTTTTTTGTTACTTTTTCTGATTGTATGTTTTCTTTTTACGGAGCCAAATGATGCATGGTGATGACGACTAGTAATGCCATATCATGGGTACGAAGAAGTGTTTACATTTGGAGGCACATCCCTGATGCCATCTGCGTACGTACTAGTTGATGCGCCACGATATGGGATGCATGGTGTGGCTTGTGGGCGGCATCAGCCACATGCTGAGTTGAGTGAGCTGCATCTGCATGTGAACAGAACCCTTGGGGTACCTTGATGTCTGCTGGTATCCATGAATCATCATCATCCTCCCTTTCTCATCACTTGATGGAGCAGGAGCAGAGAATCAACGTCCCGCCAACAACGTCCCATCGCTAGTAAATGCTTCAACGACGACAATTGGCTCTTCTTTAGTAGTCTGCTCCGGCCACCACTCCCTCAATACAGCAGCTGACTCAGGCCGGAGTATCTTAGACACAGCAGATGGATCTCCAGCGTCTGTACCTGGTAATAGACGATCCTCCGCGTCTGCAGTAAGCAGTTGCAAGTCCGACGCCAATTGAAGCCCATCCATTCACATCCATTCCCTCGGACTTTGCATTCTGTCGTCCTCCATGCAGGGCCTGCTTGTGCTTGTGCTTACTGCCCCCCTCCCCTGGCGGAATCGGCAGTCCATGAAAGAAGCAGAGCCAGAGAGAGAGCCAACCCACGCAAAATGACTCTTTTTTTCCCTGTTAGTTGTAGATGCGACACACGAGAATGACAACAGCTTTAACGATGGCGGCGCCGCGTTATGCTCAGACGGTGCAAGGCGTGGCGGCGCGGCCAGCGATCGTCGGGTGAGAAATCCAGGGCCTCCCACAGGGCACGCCCGGCCATTTACAGGGCCTCGCATCCGCCGTCTGCCGCCCATCCACCCATCCACTGATCTCCGAATTCCCCACCCGCTGGCCCAATCCACACCGCCTTACCCCACTGGGACTCCCCGCTATCCGATCTCGCCCGTCTTTTTCTATCTGCCTGCTGGTACAATTTTTTTTTCTTCGGCCACTTCTCAGACTGCTTCCTGCTGGGCGCCACGGAAAATTTAGTCGGCGCATTTTTTTTTTCCCTCTCGTCACCTTTCTTCCTTCTCTTCAGCCGTCTTCCTTATCTTCAGCCGTTTCTCCTCCTCTTCTCTCCCTTCTTTCTCTTCTTCTTCTTCTCCAAAGAAGCTCAAGTGCCCTCTTCACCCAATCTCCTCACATCCCACCATCCCCATCCCCCACCATGTCTACCTACGCTCTGCCTGCGTCTCACAAGGAGGTTCGTTCGACGCCTTTTCTCTGGCCCTATGGAACGGCTGTACTGACTCAATCGTGCTCTACAGATGCTCGAGAAGTCTCTCCTCGAGTCTGACCCTGAGGTCGCCGCCATCATGGTGCGTTGTCGCTCCTCTGCCCCTCCATTCATCTGGCGAACCCGGCCGGACTAACACGCCTTGCAGAAAGACGAGGTCCAGCGTCAGCGCGAGTCCATTGTTCTCATTGCCTCCGAGAACATCACCTCCCGCGCCGTCTTCGATGCCCTGGGCTCCCCCATGTCCAACAAGTACTCTGAGGGTCTGCCCGGCGCCCGTTACTACGGCGGCAACCAGCACATTGACCAGATCGAGCTGCTGTGCCAGCGCCGTGCCCTCGAGGCCTTCCACCTCGACCCTGAGAAGTGGGGTGTCAACGTCCAGTGCCTCAGCGGCAGCCCTGCCAACCTCCAGGTCTACCAGGCCATCATGCCCCCCCACGGCCGTCTCATGGGCCTTGACCTTCCCCACGGTGGCCACTTGAGCCACGGTTACCAGACTCCCCAGCGAAAGTAAGCTATAGAACGAAGCACCGTTGCCCTGAACCAGCTCTGAGATGGCTGTGTTTATGCGGCCTGAGAAAGAAAAGCTCTAACTAACAACGCTCTCTGCAGGATCTCCGCCGTCTCTACCTACTTCGAGACCATGCCCTACCGTGTCAACCTGGAGACCGGCATCATCGACTATGACCAGCTCCAGCAGAACGCCATCCTGTACCGCCCCAAGGTCCTGGTCGCCGGTACTTCCGCCTACTGCCGTCTGATTGACTACGAGCGCATGCGCAAGATTGCCGACTCCGTTGGTGCCTACCTCGTTGTCGACATGGCTCACATCTCCGGTCTCATTGCCGCCGAGGCCATCCCCTCTCCCTTCAAGTGGGCTGACATTGTCACCACCACCACCCACAAGTCCCTCCGTGGCCCTCGTGGCGCCATGATCTTCTTCCGCAAGGGTGTCCGCTCCGTCGACCCCAAGACCGGCAAGGAGACCCTCTACGACCTTGAGGACCCCATCAACTTCTCCGTCTTCCCCGGCCACCAGGGCGGCCCCCACAACCACACCATCACCGCCCTGGCTGTCGCCCTCAAGCAGGCTCAGACTCCTGAGTTCAAGGCCTACCAGGAGAAGGTCGTCTCCAACGCCAAGACGCTCGAGGTCAAGTTCAAGGGGCTCGGCCACAAGCTTGTTGCCGATGGCACTGACAGCCACATGGTCCTGCTCGACCTTCGTCAGTTCAACCTCGATGGCGCCCGTGTTGAGACTGTCCTTGAGCAGATCAACATTGCCTGCAACAAGAACGCCATCCCCGGTGACAAGAGCGCCCTGACCCCTTGCGGTATTCGCATTGGCACTCCTGCCATGACCAGCCGTGGCTTCGGCGAGAAGGACTTTGAGCGCGTCGCCCAGTACATCGACCAGGCCATCAAGCTCTGCGTCGAGATCCAGGCTTCTCTGCCCAAGCCCAACAACAAGCTCAAGGACTTCAAGGCCGAGGTCACCAGCGGCAAGGTTGCCAAGCTCAGCGAGCTCCAGAAGGAGATTGCTGCCTGGGCCAGCAGCTTTCCTCTCCCCGTTGAGGGCTGGCGCCTGGATGCTGGCATCTAAGTGCAAGATGCTAGCAACCAACTGGTCTGTCCTTCGGCCAGTTCAATTATGATGGGCATTTTTCTTTATCAGTTCTATAAGGCACAAAAGATACCAAAAATTTAAACAATACGTGGAGAATCAAAAAGATTGGGTCCACCGGGGCATTTAACATGGGATGGGACAAAAGCCAAAATCGGCGAAAGGTTCAACAACTTTGCAATTTCTGTTTACTTCATGAGGGCTGGCGCATGCGTTTTTTCTTTTCCACTTCAACTGGAACTGAGTGGTAGGCAGGGAGGAGTTTTTGTCTGGGTACATTACGGGAGATTCGAGGGACATACTACATACATACAAAGGCCTTTTGCTTGCTGTTGATCTTGGTATCAACGGCAATTCAACGTCGGTCGGTATTGGGTGTCCTATCCTGCTTCAACAAGTAGGCGAACTTTTACAGGAATCGAGCAAAGAAAGATTCTTTTCTGTACTCAAAGATGTGCTTCGTGACTGTTTGCAAATTATGCGTGTGTACATGATGCATTGTGACATCTTTACAGGTGTTTACCCTCCAATGAGCCACGAAGTCTTGCACCATAGAGCCGTAAAGACGGGAGGGAGAACATACAATGAGTGAAAATAACCTTAAAAAACAAGGGCCAGCAAATCAAAAGCAACGACTTCAATTGAGACCTAATAAAGCTCTCTCTGTCTCTCTCTCTCTCGTATATTTTCTTCATCTAAAGCCGCCGACTTCATCAACACAGTGGCCCAAGTAAAGCCATGAATAAGAGACAAGAGAGCATTTTCCTCTTAGTGGTTAAAGAAACTAGGTAAAAGGTATTTCGATAGTTAAATCTAAGAAAACCCAGGGGTAACACAGAAAGGACAGTTTTGACCACGAGAAACCAGAAATCGAAAGAGAAAAAAGGGTCTCAACCGGGTTGCAGGAAAGAAAGAATACAGAAGCATACTCCCGGAAGACAAGAGTGTAAGAAGAAAGAAGAAGAAACCAATATTTGCCGCCTCTGGCCCAATTGCATCAAATCATCCACACATCCCACCATACCTATCGTTTCGTAATTTTTTTTCTTTCTGTTTCCCCCCCATGGCGTTTCGTTTCGTCTCGGATTTCATAGCCTGGTGACCATGGTGAGGATGTTCAAGCACTGCCTGTTTGAAGAGTGCTGTTTCAACCTCGGGTTCAGCTTTTTCCTCCCTTCAAGAAGATGAACCGCATCGTCGCCTGCGTTATTCGTCGTAGGGAAATAGGCCCTCCGCTTCGTTGAGAGCCAAGGTATTTTGTTCCATATCAAATCCTGATAAACGCCACACAAAGACTCAAGGTCGGCCAATTGGGAAGGACATGCCAAGAACTGAAAAGAGTAAGGGTAAGGAGAAGGTGTAGAAGTATAAGTAAGGGCACGCTGAGACCCTGCCCAACCCCGAGTGGAATAAGGCAAGAATAGAGATCATTAAGGGTTCGAGAAACATTAAGCATCGGATATACGTCAAGTAAAACAAGATTTGGCCGTCTTGCTGAATGAACAGAATGGGGTGTCTGCTCATGGATATAGGCAAGGAGGCCGATATATTGGAAGGATTTCTTTGTGCCGCTCTCTCCTCAGACTTGCTACCGAAAACGCCGCTGTGTCGTGTGCCTATGCGGGACTGGCGAGACGATTTGAAGAAGTTATACGTTCTGGTCAGACAAAACCAAACGCTTGTGTCGTTGCGATCGAGCATCTTACTGGGCAATGCTCTCTGGGCTCATCATTCCGGTAGTGTCGTCCTTGTCAGTTTGGCTCATGCCACCCTGGCTTTGCATACTATCCGTCCGCTCCATGCTTGGTGCGAGTGCGAGAAGCGCAGGGTTTGGCACATTGCCGTTCGGCATGGACGTTGGTCTCTTTTTCGCTGCCGCGGCTGCTGCCGCCTTGTCGGGAGATGCGTTGAGTCGAGCTTCAGCCGCAGCAGCTTCCAGCTTCTTCTTCTTCTTGGCGAGCGCCAATTGCTCCTTTGGCGGACGCTTCTGGGCAGAGATGATTTTACCGCTGGCGCCGAGACGGGGACGCGGTTTGCGTTGCTTGGTCGGCAAATCTTCATCCTCAACCAACGGTGCATCGTTGTTAGCGTGAAGCTTGGCCAGGAAGAAGTTCTTGACCAGGCCAATCTGGTGCTGGATGTTCTCCTTGTTGACAGGCTCCGAGATAGGCAGTGGTTCGAAGATTTCGCTGCTCGATCCACCAGAGGCCTGTGTTTGCATCTGGTATTGGCTGCGCACTCTGCTCTGCAGCAGATGGAACGGCACAGACACGAAGTCGAGACCCATTTCCTTGTCCAGTCCAAGAGCCCGGAAGCCGAAGAAGTCTTCTCCCAGATCCTCGGCGAAGTCTCCACTAGTGAACTGGTCGCTGCCGTCATTAAAGGCGCCAGCACCGTCTTCGCCAGCATCTGCAGAGAGGGCCGGGCGGAGGAGATCCGCTAGATGCGACTTCATTCGATCATGCAAAGCACCCAGCTTGCTACTCAGCCTATCGACGTCGTCTTTGACGTAGCTTTCCAAGGATGCGACATCATGACCATTTTCGTCAAGAGTATGAAGGATGACCTCCTCTGGCGTAAAGCGTGGCTGTAGCACCGTCTGGCCACCAATCTGGACTGACTTCTTCTCAGCCTCTCGGTAGACGTTGAACGTTCTGACCAGCTTCTGGAAATAGTCGGCTGCGATCGACGTGAATGCATCCATGGCAGATGGCTGTAGCTCTTCAAACCCAGTGGTGTAGAGAATCTTTGCAATGGAGCGCTTCAGAGCATCTTGGCAGGTGTTGGGCGCCATTACCGGGCCATCGTCTGAGATGAAATGGGGCTCTATATCCAGTTCTCGGAATGGCTCCGAATTTGACTTGGGGAATTGATTCGTATAAACCTAGGAAGTGTGAGCTTGCGGTTTCCACCCTCCAGTTATGACTCCCACAATGTCGGGTGCTTACCTGAGACTGGACCTGCATCTGTTTGATGACGGAAATCTTCATGGCCAGTTTTCTTGTTTCTTGTATCTGGTGAATATTTTCATCCATCTTCTTCGTCAATTTACTTTGCGACGCAACAAAGGAGCCAGGCGGCACAAGGCGAAGGAATTCCTCATGCTGGTTAATCACCTGGCCTTCGCCGTCTTCGACCCATTGCATCTTGGATGGAATATCCGGAATATTACTCATAGGAGTGTAATAGTCGGGGAGAACCTGCTCCTTTTCCTCTTCGATGCCTTCGGCCAACGTCTCAGTCCCTTTGCTTCCAGCGGCTTTGGCAGTAGTTGCGGGCGCGTCAAATACAGTGCCGTTGGTCAGCTCTGCCTCCTTTTGGCGAGCCAGGAATCTTCGCATTCCAGCCTTGCTTCGGAGTAGGGCGGGAGCGTCCACGCTGAGCTTGTTGTCTTTGAAGAGCTGGAAGCGTTCTTTGGCAGCCAGAGCTCGGTCTTTCTTTGTACACTGCTTCCATATCTTGTATTCCTCGTCCTCGTAAGCCTGCTCGGAAGCCTGGCCAAAAGCTTGATTCAAGCTCATTCCATTGATGCTTGGACCGTCGATATCCATGGCATCGGCGTTACTTGTGATTCCAGACGGCCCATTGGCCGCGCCAGGAGTGATGGAGCCGCCGATAGGAGGTGTCGCGAAGCCATTGCTTCCATCCATTTCTGAGCCCTCGCGACCCAGCTTGCCCAGGAGTCCGTTCACCTGTAGGATTGGTTTCTGGTCGACCACCGGGGTATCTTCCTTGGGATCATTAGGAGCCTTCCTAGACTTATTAGCCCCCTTAGTAGTAGCCTTACGACCACGGGAAGACATGATGGGTTCGTCGTCAGAGTCCTCGCCGCCGTCATCTTCGCCACCATTCTGCTTCCTCCGCTCTTCAGCTTCGACTTCGGCACGCGAACGAATGGTAAGGTCAGGAATGAGGGGTATCAGCTTTTCGGCTTCCTTCCGCATGCCATTAGCCATTCGGCGGAGCGGGTGGTTCATGTCCTGATTGTACTTGAGGCAGTTATCCCAAATAAGGTTGAGGTCAACCACGAATTCAGTCTTTGACTTGTACGTCAGCGACTTCAGCTTCTTGGTCATGGTGCCAAGATCCATCGGGTTTTTGATGACTAAAACAATGTCAGTATTCATATACGAGCAAAATACGAAAGCTGGTCGTACAGTTGTAATAGTCAGGAGCATCTCTCTTGTTGACGCGGGTAAGGAACGGCGTTGAGTACTCGGTATGCGCTTTCAGCTCTGTCAAGACCTTTTCCAGTGCCTCGTAGAGCTCTTCCTGGTTGACATTCTCCTCGCTTGCCCACTTGCTGCGGTTCTTTCGCACTTCATTCATCAAGAGCCTGAGTTCAGCATCAGAAGCCTTGACTTGGTCTCGCTTCATATCTATCCGGGCAATGAGGTGTTTGAGGGTGAGACTCGAAGCGCCCAGGTTCGCGCTGCTGAGGGAGCCTTGGTTCGCTGCTTGCGGGCCCGTCGCACTTGCGCTGTTGTTGTTCTCCATTTCAGCCTGAAGTTGCTTCTCTGAGTCTTCTAACTGTTGCTGCTCAAGCATTGCCGTTCGGTCATTTTCCAGGGTATATATTATCGTGTGAAAGCTTCGCCGGGCGGCGGCTTCTGTTGCCTTCCTGGCATCTTCGAGCTGCTTGATAGCGTCGTCTTCCGGCTTCCCCTTGGTTTGCGATCCATCCTGAGACCTCGCTTTATCTGCTATTCTGCTGGGGGACGTGACGGACTGCACCGGAGAGCTACCGGACTTGGATGGCGATAACAGTGAGTTGGAAGCGGCGGCCGCCGCAGCCGCAGCCGGAGGTTTATGGGCGGCAGACGAGGCATCTTCGTCTTCTTCATCCTCGTCATCATCGTCATAATCGTCTTCGTCTATCGTGCGCTTCGCCTTCTTGAGCGGCGGCTCCTTGATAGGTTCGTGGTCGGTGGTTGGAGGGAGGGTGACGGTAGGGGCGGGGGGTGAGCGCCGTAGAGACTCGATCGCGTTCAGATTGTAAGAACCGTCGTCGGCAAAGAGCAGAGCGATCTTCTCCTCGGATTTATGATACAGGTCTGCAAAATGGGCGCGTCGCCTCTCGTCCTCGGCATCAAGGGTTGCCTCAGGCATCAACACCAGCGAGTTGTCGACGGGGGTCGCGATACGCGCCACTCCATCGTCCGCAACCTGCAGACTTCTGCTGCTGCTGGAGTGATGCAGTCCGGGCGGCGGCCAAGCGGCCTGGCCATTGGAAAGTGACATGATGGGCCCCAGGCGATGGAAGCGACAGCAGGGCCCCTTTCGCCATGCGCCAACGAATGCGCTCGCGTGCGGGCGGACCGGGAGCGACCGAGAGTCTCAAGACGGCATGGGACAAAGGAGCGGCATCGGGCGAGATGGAGGCCAGAAAATCGCGACGGCCGGAGATGAACTGGGCCAGTGTTGATGGATCGCGATCGGCTGGTTTGTCTGCGGATCGAGAGGTGAGGTTGAGGATTTGGGAGGCTTGTACGTATGGGGAACCCTTCCCAAAGCGGAGACTTTGCACTGGGCCGGTGGTACCAGCACCTGGAACGCTATGGGGCACCTATCCAAGGCGCTGGAGCGGGAGCAGGGCGCTGCAAGAGCTTTAGACTTGGGCGGTGCATGCGTCGGCTGGAGACCTGGACAAGTATCGATAAGAGGTGCGTCGACTTCGCCGCGTGTGCTTGTATGCAGGCCGCTGTCGAATGACTGATGCTTCGCTGCTGGACGGACGCTGTGGTGCGCGGACGGAGTACGAGTACATGTCACGGGTAGAGGCATCGCCTTGCCTTTGGCATTATCTAAGCGGTTTGTGTGCTGGATTATTACCTAAGGTAAGGTTATGTAAAGTTTCTGCTGCACAGGGCAATTGTGCCTGCACGTTGAGTCACGTGACGCCTTGGCTACGACACGCCAAGTTGCTGCAGAACTGACGACAGGCTGAGCTTAGAGTGAGAGTCTACTGATGTATGAATGGATTCGATAAAAAGAGACAAAGGAAATAGAAAGTTAGAGAATTTGTTGGCATAATGAATTTGACATCATCCTCCACCATCCACATGAATGGGAAAAGAAGAAAGAAAGGAATAGATAAAGAGCCTCTGTAATGCTGCAATTCGGGCCTGATGGCGAGCTTAACCAACACTGAGCCGGCGCTGCGCATACGGAGTACGTACTACATCCCGGCTGCGCCACCCGTGGCCGGCCGCGGCACAGCTTCATACAGCTCAAAGACCTTGAAAGCTACCTTGCACCTCCACGCCCAGTTCATGCAAAACCTCCGTCTCGCATCCGGTCCCATGGTCTAGAGAGCCTGTGCTGCTCTCGAGGCCGTCACTCAGCTCAGCCTCCCGTCACATTCGCCAGTCCACTGATAACTCCAGCCATGCGGATAAGGCTGCCCTTTGCAGGTGCGTACGTCATTAGCCCGGGCCGCACAGCATCGCGGCCAAAACATTTCTCAGGTCCCATGCATTCTGTGGCATGCGCGCCATCTTCGTTAGCCTACTGCAAGATGCTGATGTTCTCTTCCAAGGTGTTTTCCTGCTGTTGCTGCTACTGGCGGGCTACGCCGGCCTGTCCTCTTTGCAGCTCGGCGCGTACATCAACGACAAGGCCCTTCACTTCCTGACCTTCTTCCTCCTGACGGTCGTATTCTACTGGATCGTCGATACCAGTCGCCGGCGAACCCTGCATATGACTCTTGTCGTCTGCACTCTCGTACTCGGCGTCGGGTCCGAATTCGTGCAGAGCTTCCTCCCCAACGACCGAGACTTTGATCTTTACGACATAGTAGCAAACATCATCGGCAGCTTGCTAGGGTTGGGGCTCTGCGCGTGGTACCATAAGCGAATGCTGGAGAGGAAGAGACAGCGCAAGCACTACGACGCTGTCCCAGGTGAGGATACCGAAGATGTAGAGCTTGGGCAAGGCCAGGAGTCCGGTATCACAGACGGCCCAGCTCGAGGCAGGACCCTCGAGGAGGAAGTGGATAACTGGGATGAGAACGCAGAAGACAACTGGGATGATGACAACTTGTCGATTCCCGATACGGTGTCACCAGCAGTCGCCAAAGAAACGGGCGCACCTGATGCTCGGGAAGCGAAGAAACGAACAGACTGAAATCTACGCTTTGTATCTGGAGTTTATGGTTGAGCCGGGTTTTTCTCATGCTTTACGCAATCATGCCCACGGCCCTACTGGCGTTCTTCAGTCAGAACTTGGGCGGCTTGGGCATAACAGTATCTGGGGGTCAAGACAACGTATATGTGCTCATGATGACGCCTAGCTAAATGTTTCTCGAATACTCAGGATCAATTTCCAGTTAAACTTGTCTATTCTTCCAGAATACAATGAAATACTAGTTGATTCTCTGCTACAGACATATAATTCGAAGCATGTGGAAGTAGTGCAGGCCAACCAATAAGCAGGTTTGCTGCAATGCAGTCCCTGAGTAATCAACCCTCTGAACAAGCAATATGAACCGTCTTGATGTCGTAGAATTCCAAAAAAAAAAATGCTTCTGTAATTCCTCCGTCTGCTATTTTACCTCAAAAATGCATCAGAACACACATAAAGCGATGGAGGCTCGCCGAATGGATGCCAGCCGGGTACCTGCAAGCACTGCTTACCCTGCACAATCACACAGGATCGCCAACCTCAGGTAAAGGAACCCCGCCATTTGCCCCTCACCTAGGTGAGAGGGTAGGTCCCCACTAGCACGACCTTACCTATTCCTGCGAATTGTCCCCAGAACTGGCATGACCTCTGGAAAACTCCCATCTCATGCGCCGAGAGACGCACTCGCAGCAAAGATGGCGAGCTCAGAAAAACAGCCAGTCGTAAGGTAAGCGCTGTCGGAGAATGATTATTTGACGGAGCGGGCGCGCGTGCTAACAGGGCTGGGCGCAGTGGTAAAGATGATACGCCGACGAACCCCAGGGGCATCCCGTACGCTCCCTTTGTCGACAAGGTCGAGGATTACGTCTCAACACGGGAGGATGTCGAGCCGACGCTTCGAAAGTTTCAAGAAATGATCTCGTGAGCCGCGACAAATCTGGGCCGTTGCCATGGCCAAAGGGCTAATGAGCCCGTGGTAGGAAGTATCAGTTCATGGAGCTGAACCTGCAACGTCGGATGACGGGGCTGAGGGAGAAGATTCCTGATATCCAGAAGACGCTGGACACGGTGCAGTTCCTGAAGCTGCGGAAGGTTTGACCATGCAGAAGCGATTCTTCGACGAGGGGCACTCCGCTCATGCTCGAGAACAGGACGAGACGGATCCCATCGAGACAACCTTTGAGCTCAACGATACGCTATATGCCAGAGCAAACATCCCGCCGACAGAGGAGGTGTACATCTGGCTGGGGGTAAGACGGAGAGTGCTGGAGAGAACGAAGAGTTGTCAAGCTGACCGCCGTGCCATAGGCCAACGTCATGTTGTCTTACCCCATCGACGAAGCCCAGGAGCTGTTGACCTCGAAACTCACAGCCGCCAAGACGAGTCTGTCGAATTGTGAAGAGGACTTGGACTTTCTCCGCGAGCAGATTACCGTGAGGAAATGCCCATCCCCAAGCTTTGAGTAGATGAGGTTGCTGACGCAGGTTCAATAGACCATGGAGGTTGCCCTTGCCAGGGTCTACAACTGGGAGGTTGCACAGAAGAGGAAAGAGAAGCTGGAGGAGGAAGCAGAGAAGAAGAAGCTGAAGGACAATTCTGCGTAATAGACACTTTGGAAAAGCTTCTAATCTTCTTTCTTGGCTGGCCATGAAGAGCTCTCTTCCAAAATGTGAAGATCTGATGTACTGCGAAAATACTTGAGCGTTTACTCTTTTATTCAATACCGATTGAATAAGCTTCGATCGTGAAAGAATTCATCAATATCAAACTATTTCAATGGGATATCCTAAATACCTACCGGCGGTAGTACTTAGCTGTCGGCGAGGTAACTCAGTGCCAATCACCTCCGACGCTGAGGACGTCCGGTGGAGCCCCACTTTTGGGCGTGCCCCGATTGATGCATGGAGGCCGAATCGAATTTGAACTTTTGGAGGAACCGCGACCACTTCGTACTTGTACGCCTCGACCAACCTCCCCCAACAGCACAATTCACGACAGAGGCTTCTTCAACGGACCATTGCTGGCCGTGTTGGAGATATGCGGAGGAATGCTCAAAAATGCAACTCGGGAGTTGGAGCAAAGGCGGCAGGCCCCGCGCCAACTGTTCCATGCCTCTTTGGTAGGTGCCGGTGTAACTTGAGCTTTGACGGGCTGGACGGACTGCGACATCTAACACGTTGCCTTTTTGCACAGATGATCTATGGAACGCTGCTACAACGATGTAGCCGTCGGACGCTCGCTTCGCAAGCCGCTGTGGCTGTAGGGCGCGACAGTGCAAGGGTTGCCAGACTGGACCAGGACGATCGTTTTCTCGAAGCGCCGCCCCCTCGAGAACCCCCACGAGTCGCAGCAAAAATCGGCCTGTACAGGCACATTTCACAAGCTCCCAGAAATGGCTTCGAAAGCAAACCGAACATTCGATATGAATTCCAAAAGACTATTCTTGCACGACACCGGCAGCAGAGGGATACTCCAAGCGGCGCCGCTGTTCCCGACACAGCTGGGAACTCGCCCAATTCATCGATCCAGCCCTTGCCCTCACGCCGCCGCGGACGCGGGCATTATTCCATGACTTTGCGGGCGTGGCGCGACAATTCCCCAAATCTCCTGCTTCAGAAGGCACTGGACGCCGACGAAGACAGCCGGGACTGGAAAATACAAGCGGCACAGAGTCGCGTCGCTCGCCTTCCAATCATCCTGCTGCAAATGATGATTCGCAAAGAAGCATTGCAAGAACATGACCAGAGCGAGCTTCTGAATCTGCTCCCGTCCACACAAGAATGGGCAAATATGCTTGATACTGCACGGCGAAACGGCTATTCGCAAGATGATTTGGCGCATTATTTGTATATCCTCGAAGGGAAGACAGACGACACGCGATGCGAAAGATTTCTTGAACGCGACTCATATAAACCGCCCTTTATTCTGCATTTGCTCCTCAGGCCGACATCCAGGTTCTCCCGGCTCGAAACCCTCAACCGTCTCGTGGGCTATTGCCGCTCCTTCTACTTGGAGACCATCAGAAAAGAACCAGATACAGCCAAGGCCCAGACCAAGAAGTTAAAGCGGCCATACGGGCCAGAAAACTTCAACGTTGTCATGTCCCTTCTTGCGCACCATTGCATCCGGCTTGATGCCAGGCACATGATTACGCTGGGTGATTTAGCTGTCCAATATATCGAGACAATGGCGGAATCACGCCTGCCGGAAGAGGAGATTTACGAAGCTCAATGCTCGGTATTCAACCACAGCCTCAGGCTTTTCGGTTCGAACTGCCGCAGGCATTCGATCCAGCAGGCTTCGCCAAACGCTTTCTTTTGGGAAGCACAGAGAATTCTTTTGGCCGTCTCTTCCAAGTTAAAGAAACAACTGCTGGTCGATGTCGAGGGGTTTCGTGCCATTCGAAAGGTCTTGGCAGGTATGTCCAAGAATCACGTCGAGATGCATAGCTCGGTTAGGCACGCACCTACATGGCCCCCATATTTACAACCTGGGGATGGAATGGATGAAGACATGGACCCGGAAGAGAGCTGGAGCCGGTCTGTGCGGGCGGGAGTGCTGATGCAGGAGGCCGGATTCCCCAAGGAAGACCTCGACGATGCCGTCGACATCCTACAGGGCATGTCGCCGGATGGGACTCCGACGATTCAGCAGCGGGTGTCGCTAGTGAGAGGCCGAAAAGTAAGCCTGTGGGAGGCTTCCATCCGAGCCACGCGCAATGCGCAGGAGGCTTGGGAGAGGTTCCAGAACCCCCCCAAGGCTGGACTTGAACTCGGCTTAGCCGAGTATACCGCCATGTTCGAAAAGTTGACGCTGAGGGAAGCGGATGAGCACACCACAGCCCTGCCTGGCGACAGAGCCTTGAACTTTCCTACTCCGCAGGAGGCCAACCTCAGTGAATTCGAAAAGGCCCGCATCCGCCCGCCAAGCACCTCCCAGCTGTACGAGAGGATGCTGAAAGACGGCATCCGCCCGAGCGGCAGCTGTCTTGCCATACTGCTGGCCAACACGGAATCGTTGGAAATGGCGCGGAGATACCTACGCGACAGCGATGGAACCGGCGCTCTGGACCGGCTGCTGTCCCAAGAGATGGACGTGGAGGCTCTCAAAAAGGTGCCGCTCAGCCTCGTCTCAGCCTATGTCCAAGTGATGACAAGGCAAGGCGGAAAACGCGCAAGAAAATACATGGTGCGGGCTATTGAGCTGGCAGAGAAGCGATTAGGATCTGTGCAATCTCCGTGGTCTGATTTCATCTGGGGCACGATTCTGAAAGACTTGTCACAGCACCATCGCGGCCTGAGGATCCTTGTCTACCAACAGCTCAAGCTGTCCCTCCACGTTGTTGAGAAACTCGACGGGCCTTGCGGCCTCTCGCTCCCTGCGTTCGTTCAGTTCAGCAAGACAACGCGGAAGATAGCCAGGCGCGAACTGGAGGAGCTCTGCACCGAAATGGATATGAGCCCGTCAACGGTCAAGAACAACGCGCTGTGGGCCCTGTACGATGAGAAGTCTATACACAAGGATGCCATGCATTGGGACACATTCGGCGGCAGGCAGGGGGCCTTGAATGTGTTTCGTCTCTTCCGGTCTTCCGCCTTGCGGATGAAGGAGCTTTTCGACAAACTTGTGTCACTTGAAGGAGAGAGCCAGCGACTGCTGGGTACGAAGAGGGTGGCGCCACTGGACGAGATGATGTGGCGGAGGGACCCAGCCCGAGCCGAGCACGCGTACGAGTACATGGTTTCCTTGGCATACCTGGGCGAGTTTCAACAGATGGCCAAGCTGCTGAGGTGGTTGATGGAGAAGTGGGGGCAGCCTGAGGTGGTGCAGGCGTTGTCGGAGCTGGACGAGCCGCCAGCGTATGCGGACTTTGTAAAGACTCTCTGCGCCTTTCGACTTTTGGCCGAGCCCATGCTGGGGCAGGGGGTGGTGGCGTCTCTGCAGGAAGCCATTGACGCGGCTGGGTTGAACTGGACATGGCCCGACGAAGAGGCTGTGGAGGCATACATTCATACACAAGAGGATGAATCGATCCAGGCTCTGGCGCGCGTGTTGGAGCGGGTGCGCTTATCGTGGGCAAATACGAGAAGCGACGTCGAGACGGACGCAGAGCCGGATACGGGCCGGGCAGGCAAATGGAGGAGCCATGTATTATGAGCTGGGAATTGATGCATTTGAAACAAGGGACATGGTCATGGAGGCGTTCTCAAGAAGGCTCTGGATTGATGTTTGATTTACGAAGACAGTGTTGTATGACTGCATGTATTATTTGCTGGAAACAGTAGCCTTGAGGAATGCCGGCGATAGAATATCTCTATACCCATCGACTATCAATCTTGATAATTGATATTACAGGCAAGATGAACAAGGTCTGTGCCTCGTATCCGGCGAGAGCATGTAAGCCAGCCACTTGGTGCAGCAGGCAGTAAAGCATTATTAACTCGTGCTGCTTCTATTCTGAGGCTTCAGAGAAGCGAGCGGCTATCGCAGTTCTCATCTTGCCAATCTGGCGTGCAGGGGGGCAGAACGAGCTTCCGATTGGGCGCGGGATGAATCTCGTAAACCTGTGGTGGTACGAGCGGACCTGGCTGGACACTGGGATGATGCTGTAGGAGAAAGAACGAGGTGAATGTGTCTAGCTTCGTTATATATTTGAATGGAAGGATGATTGCGCTTTGAACTGGTTTGCTGTTGAGGGCGTTGGTTGGGTTGTCTCGACTTGCACTGGACAGAGTAGGTATGGAGTACCTGCGTCTATTCCCACTTCCGTGAAGGTGAATTACCACGTGCGCATACTGGAATTCCTCATTAGAAAATGATAACCAGATACTAGAATAATAAGATCACTGATACTCAACCTCAAACCCATGAAGCAAGTCCAGATAAAAATCGGGCGCTTAAACTTGCAAGGCCCAGGTTACGCTGCAGCCTCTCGCCCAGTGGTTTGCTTGCCCAAACGGCCACAGGTGGCAGCGGTGGGGCGGAGCTGATTGGCCAGCACGCCTCGCCGGCTCAGACAGTTTGAGCGGCTGCATGGAAGAGACGACTGATTGAGACTTTGAGCACACAGGCTTGGATGAACCTGGGCCCGTGTTTTGGCTCTGGGCCTTGCGGTGGCCAACCATTTGGCCTTTGCCTGCTTTGATTCTTGGTACTAAGTTTTGCTGTATTTTACTGTTCACCATGGGGGATTACGGGTGGACTGGGATCTATGCTCTCTTCCGATGGTACCTGGCTGATGCATCGTGATCCCGGCACATGCGCGTGTATACAGGACAGGGCATGGGTTCACGTTTGATGGAACAGACAGAAGCAGGGCTGCAACCGCATGGCCATTGATTCCGCCTGCTTGCCAGACTCACCAGACGGACACGTACATAATGCCCCAGGCCGATCCTTTCCCAATCCCCTCTGTTCCTGCTTCTTCTTTCTTCTCCCTCTCCTTTTTGGTTTTCCAGGTTTTCCTTTACTGTCTCGACGATTTTCTTTCTGGGTGCTCTGGTTGATCTGGGGTTCCTCCTGTCTTCCCCTCTCGTTATCTCTCTCTATTTGACGATTTGCCTTATTCTCCATTCTTTTTTCTTTCTTCTACTTCTCTCTCTCTCTATTGTTCTCTGGCTTTATTCTTGTCTGTTGTCTGCTGAGCATAATCACTTTCACTCATCGGCTTTTTGGTGCTCCGGTCACACACTCCCTTGTCACTCTCGCCCATTCACTACTCTCAGTGAATCCCTCGGTTCATTGAGGCAAGACTGCTTTGCATCTAATATCCTTCTCTCTATTTCCTTGTCGTTTCTGTCTTTGCTTTTATAATTTGGTCCCCTTTCCTGAACGCTCTTGGCTCACCTCACTGGATAACCTTTGTGGTGTTGAACAAAACGCATCTTTGTTGGCGGCAATCTTGTGAGCAAGCAATCAAAGCGTCGTTCACAGTCTATTTGTTCAAGCAAGCCGTTCACCCGGTATAAACAAAAGGCGTCGATTGTTGATCATCCCCCCTCCTGAATTCTTCAGCTTTATACTTTTTCTCTTTCTTTCTTTCTTTCTCTTGGAAGGACATCGCTGTGCGATATCACAAGTATACACAACTCGAACATAATGCGTTATCACATACTCTTCGGTAGTGCTCTGGGCATGTTCCTGGTTGCTGCTGGGCCTGCGCAGGCTGGTCCGCTGCCACGCCTCAGCCCCAAGGTGTAAGTTCTATTCTCCCAAGTACTCATCTATAGATTCAATGAAGTATCGTACTGACACTTTTTTGTTTCTACAGGCCCAAAGTTGCGCGAGCGGAAACTGCCGTATTCGACACCTCTGCCATCCCTGACGGACCTGGGTAAGTTGCTCTGAAATGACCAAACGTATATGCAAAGGGAGCGAAAACGTCTGACATGGGATAGTTCGACCCAGCCTGCCGTGCCAAACGTACCGACGGGCACGACTCCTCACCCCGTCTTCCAGACGTTGACGGGCACCACGGCAGATATTCCCGACTCCCTCAGGTCCAGCATCCCTACAGAGGCTCAAAGCCAAGCTCCGGCCACAACCTTGGCTGGACCAAGCGTCCCACCAGTTGAGACTTCGTCGACCAGCATAACCTCCGGACCGGCTACCTCGTCCAGCGGCGTCGTCGACAGTCAGACCAGCACAGCCGTACCACCCTCCTCCGCAACTGAGGCCAACACAGTCCCTACGAGCGCTGTCCCAACTACCTCCTCTGAGCCTGCTGTACCAACTACAACCAGCATCTTCACCACGGTGGTGATCCCAGATCTGAATGCGCCCACTACGAGCCCTACGGAGCCTGCCACGACAGCCACGGCTGGGAGCACGTCTGCGGCTTTGGATTCTTCAGGCAATCCCGCCTCAACTGGCCCCCCTGCCGTGACGACAACTCCCACGACGGCTCCCGATCCTGCGACGACTCACAGCACGGCTGCGGGAAGCACAGAGACCTCTGTGGGTAGCTCTGCGTCTACGGACGCGGCTGTCCAGACGTCGGCGGCAACAAGTCCCTCGACTACTACTGGCGCTGTTCAGACGGCAACTAAGGCGTCGAGCGCTGCTGCCACGGTGAACACGCAGACTAAGTCTGAGACGGCGACTGCTGGGCTGGCGGGATCTACGACTGTGCCCCTGGCGACGACGGGGACCACAGCTTCTCCTGTGACTGAGATTTTGTCAGCTACTGGGACTTCTGCAGCTTCTGGAACCTCGGCAGCTACTGGAACGTCTGCTAATGCCGGAGCTTCAGCTACCGGCACTTCAACGGCGACTGGGACTTCAGCAGAGACAAGTACATCAGTAGCTACTGAGACCTCAGCAGTGACTGGAACTTCAGCAGTGACTGGAACCTCAGCAGTGACTGGAACCTCAGCAGTGACGGGTACATCAGCAGCTACAGAGACCTCGGCCGTCACAAACACCGTGCCTGCTGCTGTCCCAACTACAGCCCCCGAGACTCAGACGACTGCCCCCAACTCCGGCACTGGCCTTCCAACTTCACTCACGCAGACGAGCATCACCGACCAGACACAATCTAGCTCGACAGTTGGAAGCACGACCGCGCCATCTCAGGCTGCATCGACTTCCCAGACTGAGCCCCAAAGCACTGTTGTCGCCACCTCCATCACGAGTCCTACTCCTGCAAACACAGTGGTCGTCTCTACAAGCCTGATCCAGCCTCAGCAGAGCACGAGTGCGTCCCTGCCCCTTACCGGAGGAAGCAGCCTGACCTCGACTAGCGATACTCTTGCAACGTCGGCGTCGACGACTTCTGCTGGGCTGCTGACGAGCTCGACTTCAGCCGGAGGTGCAGTATCAACATCAATCCCGACTGCTGCCACCACAAGCTCCGCCGCTACCACCAGCGAAGCGTTGTTCGTGACCTCGTCAGAGCCCAATCAACCCGCAGCGTCCTCCACAGCCTCGTCAGCTCCAAGCTCATCCGCGGCCGAGGCTACTAGTAGCACCTCAAGCCAGGCTCCTCCCCCTGCATCAACTACAGCAGCCCCTGACAGCAGCACACAGTCGACCAGCTTGACATCGCCCGTCTTCCTGCCAACCCCCACTGACTCGTCGTCTGACGACACGACAACCACCACGCAGCTCACGACGACATCCACCGCCACCGTCACCGTCCAGCCCACCGGCACGCCCAACGACGCCGTCCCAACCACATTCACCTTCTTCCCCACGGCCACCACGTCCGTCCCGGCCCAGGTCTACGCAAGCAACCTCGCCACCGCCCAGAACTACAACAACGTCTTCAAGACCATGACCCCCGAGTCCGCCTGCACCGGCGCCCAGGCGGCCTGCATCGACGGCCAGCTGGCGACGTGCGGGCCCAACGGAGCCTTTGTCCTTGAGGAGTGTGACGCGGGGACCAAGTGCTTCGCTCTGCCGATGAACAACACGGCGGGCGTTCTGCTCGGGTGCCATGACCCTGCGGCCGCGGAGAGCATCCTCGGCGATAGCGCGGGGGGTGCTCCTCCGAGCAGCAGCGGGCCGGCTCCGACGCCGGTTGCTCCGACGACGTCTGCCCCGGCTGGTTCGGCGCCGGCCACTGCGACGTCTGATCCGGACGTGACCGTCACCAGTTACATCACAGTGAGCGACTTGCCGCCTGTGACAACGCCTACTTCCACTGCGGCTCCTTCGCCTCAGCCGCCTTCTGCTCCGCCTGCTGCAGCTCCCCCGGCAGCTGACCCCCCTGCCGCCTCCTCCCCAGTTGCCTCTCCTTCTCCTCCGGCGGCCTCTTCTCCTGCAGCCTCCCCAGTCGTTGCTTCTCCTCCCCCGGCAGCATCTTCTCCCGCCGCCTCTCCTCCCACAGCCCCAACACCAACAACCTTCCAAACCATCCGCACCAGCGCCGCTGCTCCCCCCGCCATCACCCCCCCTTCCAACAACAACCCTTTCCTCCCCCTCCCGCGCCCCAACCCAACGAGCCTCATCCTCATCCCCGTCCCCGACGACCCCGCCCCCTCGGAGCTCGCCATCCCCAGCAGCAACAATGCCAGTCCTCCTCAACCCACGAAAGTCCTCAACGGGCCGGCTGCTGACTCGGTCTTGCCCACCGTCACCGTGACGGAGCGGGAGAAGGAGACTGTGACGGTCACGCAGAAGGAGAAGGAGACTGTTACCGTTGCGAAGGAGACGGTGACTGTTACGCAGATTCCTCCCAAGGAGACTGTCACGGTCACTGTTGGCGTTTAAGAGAAAAAGGGCAATGGGGATAGGTTAAGAGGGGAAAAAGGAAGGGATGAAACTAGGGATACATGCCGGGCTTGTTGCGAAATGAAAAGATGGGTTTTCTTTTGCAATCTGTTGTTCCCTACGACATGCTTTTGGCACTCTGCTCTGTTGAAGGCCCCCCCTTTTCTATCTCGTTCTTCTTTAGTTCTTGGATTTTATATGTTGGTTGGATAAGTCTGCTTTTTTTTGTTCTGGTTATGAGTTTCCTTTGTTTCAATTTACATAATGTAGCCGGCCTATCATACACATCACGGGACGAGAGAAGGAGAAAATAATGCTTGATTTGCTACGAAGTTTTGCGAGATCCAAATTTGTTTTATACATACCTACGAAATACATATACAGTACAAGAAGATAAAAAAAAGAAAGAGAGAACGATGCTCGCGAATCGTCATGTTTGAAATCATTAGTTGAGAGCCCAGCCGTCCTGTTTTACCTGTTCATGTTTCCGTTTTGTCTGATCGTCCATGCAGATCCACTAGACACCTTATACGTGGTTTCCAGATATGATTCTTCTTGAAGTTTGTTCTACCCACTACCTTGACCTACCGTAGTCAGTAGGTATATATATATACGTTACAATCTCCGTCAAACGCTCCCAACGCTTCATGTTGTATTTCTTCTTGTTCCGCCGCTGTTGCTATGAATGATATAGAAAGTGATAAGGAGGGCTCAGGTGGTTCCTTCATGGACCTTCCGTGAGTCAATGTCCCCCAGGTGTTACCGTGTCGCTTCTCGTCCCTGAATGCCCGTGTCTCCCTACGAGTGTCTCGAATCCGACCATGCAGGCCAAAAGTAAAAACAGGACACTCTGAAATAGAGCAGGGGGGCAGAAGGGGGGGGGCTACAATATAATAGTAGAGGGAGAAAGTGTATCCAGACACATTTGCAGTGGCGTGGATAAAGAATAATGGCAAGAAGTGAAGAGGAAAAAAGAGAATAGATGCAGGCATTAAAAGTCATTTCCAAGTCGCGCCAGGCAAAAAAACAACCGCATGAGAGCAATACTGGAGTTACCAACCAAACCCAAGCCCAAGAAATGAGGGAAAAGGAAGAAATGAAGGCGCAAAAAGGCAACATGACGGGGAAATAGAGAACAGCCCCAATCACCCTTTAGACCCTGGCGCTGAGCTCTTACTTCTCAGGACCGCCGCTGTAAAGAGTGAGGCCGCTCTGCCACGGTCAAATCGCTAATTCGTTGCAGGCCGGAAGTTGCCAGTAAAGGGGCTCGCAACCTCGAGTCTCTTAGCCGCTGGTTCAACACTCCTGGCTTCCCCGTCCGTACCACCGTACTTTTCATGCCAGAGCTTCCGCAGCACCTGGTAGATGAATCGGTACTGGATCTCGCCTTGGACCATGCCCCGGCGTTGCTGGCGGAGCGTGTCCACCGTTTGACACACGAGATCAGTGCGCTCCGATGGCATATCGTACCTCGCCAAGGCCCCCGAGTCGAGCTCCCTCATCAGGTGCTCGAGGCAGATAAATGTACCTGTCCGACCTACACCAGCACTGCAGTGAATGACGCGCGGTGCCGAGGGCGCGGTATGCTCCCGGGAAAGCCTCATCAGCTCCAGGAAACTGTCTACATCTTCCGCAGTGGGCACACCAAAATCGGGCCAACGCCTGTAGAGAAAGTGCCAGACAACCCTCGGTTCTTGCTCCCCGTGGACGTGAAGCAGCAGCTTGCGCTTCTCAATCGCGCCACCAGCAAGCTCCTCTACCGAGACAAACGTCAGATCCGCCCTCCAGTTGTCACCCCAGAGATTGTATTCGTTGACGCTCCAGACGGTGTCCTGTCCGCCTGTGGGGATCTCATCGCCCATGGGGAAGTACTGATCACACTTGACCATGTCAAGCTCCACCAGGTTGGTGAGCTGCACGATGACGGCAGGAGAGGGACACTGTTCCGCGATCATGCGCCAGACGTGGTCGAACGATGATACGGTAGGGCCCTGCATGGCAAGGTAGTGTAACGGCGGCTTGTGCGGGTCGGTCGGGGACGTGAGAGAAATGGCAGAGGCGTTGACATAGTCGAACTCGGACTCTGGCACCCGGAGCTTGACCCGGTTATGCGCCCAAGGCCTGATGTTGATGTAGCGATCCATCTTGTCGTGCGTGTCGGCGTGCTTGTACAGGGCCCATCGCGGGTCGCCCAAGTTGTCGTCTCGCATGCCCTGCGCAACCCTGACCCGCTCGGCCCAGGTGAGCTCCTGATATTTGGCGTCGATGTCTGCAGATGGCGCGTGATGGTTAGCGGGGCGAGAACACACTTGTAGCGCCAATGGATATGACGTGCATATGCATCAGGCGTGCATATACAGGCAGCTTATCATGGCGGCCGCCGAGGGAGATATGACGCACCTTGCTGCGACAGCGTCAGGAATGCCGGCAAAACAGGCGGCGGCTGGTTGACGCTCCTACGGCGATCCTGCACAGGCGGCGACTTGTGCTGCGCCGGCTGAGATGCTGGCCGCACAGGCCGTGGCGGCGACTGGATGCCATCCTGCGCCACGACGACGGCCGACGGCGTGGTGGGCGTCAGGTCTGAGGGAGGACTGTCCCGGGCGCGCTTCGACGGGCCTCGCAGGCGCAGGCTCCTGAAGGGCGCCATCTTATGGTGAGTGCGCTGCGGCGAGTCGTTGGGACTCATCTTGTCCGAGGCCACGGAGCCGTTGCGGTCGATGGCCGTCTCGAGCACCGGGGGTTTGGGTTTCCGGCGAAACTTGGGGATCTTATCCATGGCGGCGAGGGGAGAGATCTTGGTCGCCTTGGCGGCTGCCCTTCGCACAGCCGTGGTCAAATCGTCGACTAGACGGCTGAATCGTCCGCTGGCCGTGGCCGTCGCCGTGGTTTCGATCGGTGGGAGGGTTCGTGCGGAGCGACGGGCAGGAGAAGAAGGGAAGGGGAAAATAACGACTAGTACCAGGATATGAATATACCTGATATATGAAAGAAAGAAGAGAAGAGAGAAGGACAAAGGCAACGGGTCGGTCAAGGAGCGCGTGAATGTGGAGAGAAGAAGGTGAAGATGAAGAAGAAGGTGAAGAAGCGGTTGAGAAGGCGAGAAAGAACCGAATCGGAGGGTTAAAGAAGTTGAGAAGAGGAGAAGGCGATGGCAAGACGAGGAATGAGGCAGACGGCAGAAGCTTCCCTGGTCTGGTACCTGAGAGCGCGAGCGAGGGACCCGGTACTGGGTACGGGCCGCAAAGGGCAAACGGTAATGCGGCGGCGAGGTTGCGGGTACTTGGCCCAAGCGGGCGGGAGATGAGATGAATGAAGAGCTGACGTGCTTTAGCAGAGGAGCGGATGCAAGTAATACATGCACTGCACTTTACCTACGGGTATGCGTGCAGGCTGTGCACTTGGTAAGATTGCCTCAGGTACAGAAGGCAAAAAGACCCGAATACGGAGGATAAGGCAGAGAAATGACTGATGTGTGTATCTGCTGTATGTTAATGTATGTACGCACTCTATCTGGTGAGATCCCCTCAACCGTCACTGGCGGCAATAGTCCTGTATTATTGATTGATTGCATGCAGCTAAAAATCCTCAGTTCGGTTCAGCACTTCAGCAGTTCACGCCTACACTCTGCATCTGCCAGTATCCGGTACCCGGCCTCGCCCATCCGCCACAACTGACAGCACCCTGCAGCGGCACGTCTTCAGTGGAGTCTGCCGCCAAGAACCGCGTCAGAATTCCAATTTCAGCACGCGACTCGGGCCCTGGTGCTCCCGGCCCGTGTGCCACGCCAAAGTACTGCATACATCCGCCCACCTCATGTCTTACCACATTGGATCAGAACCCGTCGCCACAGCGCCAGAGCCATGTTCCAGTGTGAATGTGCCAGTACCTGCATGTGAGGCGGCCTTTGCTCACGCACAGCATCCCGGCTATTTTTATCCTCAGTGCAGTCATTTGATTCGCCTCGCTTCGCCTGAGCGCGTCATTCATGTGCTCGCGTCAGCTGAAGCTCGTGTCGCGACCGATCTTTTTCTTCTTCTCTGCATTTGGTGCATGTGCCAGTCGTTGAGGTTCCCGATCGGGTTGTCTGGTGTATACAAAGCACAAGGTAAGGTAATCCTACAAGTTCAAAGATACACCATGGTAGAGATCGATCTTGATATCGTACATACACAAGTGTTGACGCTGTTTCCTCTGATCCTCCTCTGCGTTACCTTTTCCTCCTTTTCCCTTGTGCCCCCTTTTCCATTTCTCTCTCTTCGTTTTCGTTTGTCGTGTCCCTCCACCCGTCATTGTCCGTTTCAGCACCACCCAGCAACGATGATCCGTCGCACACACCATCACCACGCAGCCCATGTGTGAGACATGTGACACACACAACAAACCTACACATCGACGTGCTTCGGTAACAGGTCGGATGTGTGCAGCCAACAACCTTGCATCAGCTGAGCCCTGGCCTATGGTTGCCCGTGGTCCGTTTCAACAGCCCTTTTCACATCGCTCCATAGTTACAGCCTCTCGCCTATCCCCGTTGCCCCCCCTTTTCCCTGCTTCCGTCAAATGGCAGAGTAGACCCCTGTGACAAATCGACCGCACTCGACTTTTTGCTCCAGCGTCGCTTTGCGGCCCTTACCACCTTCTCCTAGCCGTGCAGTCTGTCGAGGCGTGAGGCATAATCGATGCACTTCACCCTCTCTTCCTCGTGCAGCATCCCCTTCGCCCCCATCAAGTGGTCCAATGTAGCTTGGGGCGTTCAAGTTATTCCGCTTGCCCGTCCCCAGCTGGTAATGCTCATTGCCTCCCCAGAAAACGACGTCAGAGCCCCAGTTCGTCTCGTTCTCGGAGGACCGGCCCGACACGGACGTTTGTGTAACGTTGTCCATGACTGCCGCGCTGTGGGTTGTGCCAATGCTCAGGTCCTTGATCTTGATGGGCATCAGCTGGTTGCTTCTCTCGTCAAACTCAGAGAGTCCCGACAGCGCCTTGACCTTTGTTGGCCCAAGGGAGACGTGAGTCCATTTCCCAGTGCCTAGCGAGCCGGTGGTGCCCTGTCCTGCGGCCCAGACGTCGCATGTGCTCCGCGGTAGTCTCCTGGAAGGCGCCGTAGCGCCGGCCTCGGTGCCGCTCGCGTCGGGCATATCGGCCTCGCAGACAAAGAAAGTATTCATTCCGCCAGCGGCAATTGACGAGACTTTCGGGATCAGTCCGCTTTTCGCATACAGCTTATGGACCGGTAAGATTGTAGGCGTAGAGACAGAAGAATCTCCCAGTTGTGCCTCAAAGCCAAGTTGACCGAATGTGTTGTCGCCAAAGGTAAAGATCCGCCCAAGTTTGTCTAGGACAACTGAGTGGTAGTCTCCTGTCGCGATCTTCTTAATGTCAAACCCATTGAGCGACGAGATCTCGTGCGGCTGATCATAGCGTCCCTTGGGGCGTGTCTCCCAAGTGAGGCCCGGGATGCCCATCTGTCCTTTGCTCGGGAAGGATGAGGCACTTGAGGCAGAAGAGAAGACCCGGCCGCTTGATGTGAGCATCAAGCAATGCTCAAGGCCACTGCTGATATCAGTAACGCGCTCACCCCATTTAAGACCCGCTGGAGTCAGGGTCTGGAAGCTGATAGATTCGCTGCCAGATGGAGAGGACCAGAGAGACCACGAGCTCTTGTTCTCCTCCAGCTTCTTGCCGCCTTCCTGGTCATCACGCGAGGCTGGAATGGCATAGACAGAACCGCCGCGGGATAAAGCAATGATTCGGTCCTCTGACACTTGAATCTTGGACAGATCCTTGCCCTTCAGGGTCGTCACAGGTGTGGGATCTGTCTTGGAAAACCCCAAGCCCCATTGCACGAGGTCGCCCTTTTCCGTAATGGCTGCACCAAAATTCTGGGTCAGCTTCAAATCGCGAAGAAGCTGATTGTCGAAGAAGGATATCCTGCGCGGATGCTTAATGTATTTCTCGCTTGAGCTGGGGTCAATGACCTTTCCTGTATTGGAACCCCAAGCGAACACTCCAGGAAGCTCCCAGCTCTTCTTCACTTGGAGGTGCTGGGAGCTGATCAGGTCGCGATTGTCTTCCTTTGAGACGGCCTGCTCGCGAGGCTTTTCAAACTCCAGCTCGGCCTTCTGATATCCTTCCGCCGTCCTTGTCTCGGTCTCCTTGGAAGCTGGGGTGAGCTGATCTCGGAGCCTGGGGTAGTAGTATGCTCCGGCTGCCGCCGCAGCGAAGACGGCGGCAAATCCGACGGCCTTGCCTCCTCGCCGCTTGGGACCTGCCTCTGGCTCTGCCTCGCCGCTGTTGTAACGAACCCATTGACGCTGAGACGCAGCGAGATGCGGTCGGGCTGGGAGGCGAAGCCGGGACGCTCGTCGAAGAGAAGACTGAGAGGCTCTCATGGCTGCGAGTCTCTTATTCCAGCTACTTGTGTTGATTGCCTCGATGTCAAAGGGTCCTACCAGAGATGATCTGACAGCCCCGCTGTGGATTTGACTTGGCCCGCGGATGATTTGCAGCAGACAACCTGGAACTTCAGCCTCAAGCTATGAGGTTGCAGATTGGATGCCATGAGATCATGCACACAAAAAGCAGCTGATGGAGGTCAAGGGTTTAGCGCAGATATCCCTGTACTGAAGCTTTTGGGCGCCTCGATGATGTCAACCGCCTTTACCTGCGCGCTGATTGGCTGGATTGACTTGCGTATCGAATTGAACTGCTCATAGCTGAACTCTCAATCAGTGGCTTAAGGGAGCAGCATCACGATAGTGAGAAAGCCTGGGCTAGTTTTGGAGCACAATAAGATCTAAAGCACACAGTTTTCATGTACAGTATCTGCTCTTCAAACAAATATTGCTACTACAGCTACTATTTGGCAGTCTTCGCTGTTTGTGATCCATCATGCAGTGTCCCCGTGAGGCCGTAGAGTATCAATGCTTAGTCATCACTGACAGCTGAGTCATCTTGAATGGAAGTACTTTACTTTTCTAAAGGCCTACCACCAGATGAGCAAGTACCGTGGGGTGGTAGCTCGATCCCCAAATGAGGCCAAGCAGCAACAACAGCACAGCTCCCTCTTATTCCAACGCCTGCTTCAAGCTCCCTCTGAGCCGCCATGTACGAAGACGGCTGGTACAGCTTCGTGCCGGAGCTTAGCAGCAGCAGCAATGGCAGAAACGAGACTTCTGGCGGCAAGCCTCGAGGCCATCAGCGCAAGGAATCGCTCCTCCAGCAGCCCAACGTGGGTGTCCCGTCTCCTGTCTGAGGCATGTCACAGACGGCTTACTCTGTATAGGACCCAAACCCCATTGCCGAGACGCTTGAGGATGTCCTGGAAGAGCTAGATCATACCAATGACCCTCCCGAGCCCACGTTACCCCGTCGAGCCTCGTCATACTCCGATTTCTACGATGTTGTCAAGGTGGCGCTTCTCAAAGAGTCGCAGCGCAGGCCGCGGCGGAAGGTCGACAGGAGAAGTAGACAATGGGAAGCCTTGACGCTTTTCAAGGAAGGCTCTGAAGCTTCTCAATACCTCCCAAAGGAAGCCGGGCCCACGGAATCGCTAGACGACCGACTGCTAGAGGAAAGCCAGCGAGAGTACTTGTATGGTTCCGAAGCCGCCTACAGCCCGTGCGAAGCTAATTGACGACCAGGCTTTACCGCGACCAATTGAGGATGACTGAGCGCCATCTCGAGGGCCTGGTTGACAATGCCAATGATGCGCTCAAACTGCTCACGACCTTGTCGCAATCATTCCAATCTGTCGAGGCCCAGACGTCGACTTTCCAGGCACAATGCGAAGAGCTCTTGACGGAGCAGCGGCGACTGGAGAAGCTGGCAGACGAGGTGGGGACTGATCTCTACTACTACGGATATCTGGAAAAAGCCACGAGGCGGCTGAACGCTCCGGGCGCCAGTCAATTGGTAGAGGACGACGACTTTGGTGAGATGGTGGAGAACATTGATGCCTGCATCAAGTTCATGACCACTCATGTAGGTGCACCCAATCCCTGAGACGTAACTCTCTCGTTGTTAACAAGCCACAGGAAAACTACCGCGAGCGCGATTCGTATCTAGCGCGATATAGCGCCCTACTCACCAAGGCATTGCATCTTCTGGACCATGCCTTCAACACTCGCCTGGACAAAGTGTCCAGTGACATTGCGCGGCAAATCGCCGCCACCAAGTCAGAATCTGCTCGCCACGCACTTGCCTATGGCAGGTTTGAAGAGATGATGGCGCAGTCTTACTCTCTACTCCCGAATGTCCGGAAGGTAGTCCGCTCGGCTTACCATGTGTACGGCCAGCCAGTAGAGGCCACGACTACAACAGCGACATACGCCAATGTCGTCAACACCATGTTCCGAACATACTTCTCGACCCGTGATCGAGACTTGAAGCCGATGACGCAGCATGATATAGACGAGTATCAGAAAGAGGTCAAAAGCCTGTCGATAGAGACAGCTTCTAGAAACTTTGTGAAACAGCTGTTTGAACGGATATATAGCGAGGACGGCCTTTTTACTAAGATTTTCAGCATAGAGCTCGCTTGGAGCCCTTCTGCCGAGTCAGCCTTCCATGCTGTCAAGCAAATCAGCACGACAATGGTGCACCCCGGCAATCTTGTGCCATTGGCCACCAACTTGCAAGCCGTGCTCCAGAATGCTCAGCTCCAGGAAACATGCAACGTGGTGGGATGGCTAGCTAATGAGTACGCTGTGGCAGATGTCGATGAGGAGGACTCACCGTCGTTCAGAAAGTACAAAGAATACGCCGCCAGGCTGCTTGCAGACCACCTTTGGCCTTTCACGGACGGTTTGTTCGAAGCCGAGATTGTGAGATCCATCGCCAAAGCCCCAACACAAGATGGCCTCCTGAAGATTGGCCCCGTCGTGGGCGGAGTAGCATCTTCGAATGCATATCCCCTAGTCAAGCGCGCCATTGAGCTTCTGGCCATGTTTGATCAGGCAATGCCCAAGGAGAGATCTGTAAGTCCTGGACGATTTGTCAATGTATATCCGCTCAGCCTAACATATCTCGCAGGCCAAGAACAGCCCCGTTGTGTTCAAGATCGTACGAGAGACGATCCAGGTCCTTCAGCGGGCTGAGGCAAGAATCAAATCGCTCAAAACGGACACCGACCCGGATCTATTCATGGTCAAGAATCTGCTCATCCTTAAGAACGAACTGGTATCACTTGAGATTGGCGATATTCGAAGCCAGCCCGCGATGCAGCACTTCGGCCACATCTGGGACACGCTGAGTCCTCAGAATTGGGTAGGATTCTTCACGAGCATCATCAGCGGCAATTTGTGGTCTCGAGGGGCGCCGTCCGTCACAGCCAAGACGCTTACGGTCGAGGACATGAGCGAGCAGCTGGATGAGCTTCTGCGCCAGTCTATTTACGCCTTTACAAAGCGATGGGCTTCCCTGATCAACGACTCCCAGAGCCGGAAACCCGGCGTGAAGCCCATTGCAAAGGTAGAAGCCGAGCTCGAAACTATACTTGACACGGCATTCAGCAATCAGCCTGAAGTCATTTCGAAGCTGAAGGAAGCCATACAGCTCAATGCGCAGGCGCAGAAGGAGGCAAAGGGCCCTGGAGACGGGTCTCGAAGATATTAGCGGAGCAGCGTAACGAAACTTGTCGGCCTCGTGAAGAGACGAAATATAATCTCATGATGATGATTCTCATTGACGATGACCCCCGTGGAAACCTACAGCACCGAAGTGAAGTTGATGTCAACTTGTTAGCCGAGGCTTCTTGGTCAGCTATTGCCAGTCGATAATTATATTACGGAGTTCGGGGTAATCAGGACTCAAGATCGAATCAACGGATCCCCCAGATCAACATCAGCTCTTGGTCATGATTGAACAGCCGTGCTTTTCAATCTACTGAGCGGAAACGGTGCGAAATTATAACCTGCCAAGAAATGATCCTTCACGAGCACTCGGCTCCTCGTAGGCTACCGAGCGTTACGTTTTCTCGTGTAAGTCGCGCGCTGGTCAGCCGCAGTTAGCGGTTGACTTGGGCCCTGCTCAATAAACGAAACTACTATAGTGCTTTTACCGAAGCGAGGCGGGGTAATAGTGCGTTTGGTGACCTTTGCTCCATTGTGGTGAATCGTAAGCCTGGGGAGGCTATCAAAAGTGAACAGATTCGTTCAGATTCACTTGAAACTGCGGCTGGACGACCGACATCCTGGGCGTATTCTGCGGAATTCCGATAACTGTTGACTCAACCAAGAATCTAAACTAAAGTAACCCATTGCATATAAAACACATCTTGACAACCCAATTCTGCACCTTTGGTTCTATCTTCCGAAACAACTACAACACAGCTGCCTTGCCCTCTTATCCAACCGATTCTCATCTCTACAGTGACTATCTGTCTACAGTAACACCCAGCTTTCCACACCACAACACATCCAACTCAAAAAAGCCATGCCCGAAGAAACCAAAAACGTCACATACCGCGGAAACTGCCACTGCGGCGCCTTCGTCTTCGAGACGACGCTCCCCGAGCCGCTCAAGTCCGCCTTCCACTGCGACTGCAGCATCTGCACGAAAAAGGGCTACCTCTGGGTCTTTCCCGGCAAGGGCAACGTGGAGGTTGTCAAGGGCAGCCTAGAGGGGCTGACGGCGTATGTGTTTGGGCCGAAGAAGTTGAAGCATTTGGTATGAATAAAACCTGGGGGTGTCTTTTACCTTGATATTGCAGAGAGATGGTCTTGTTGGTGGTCAGGAGGCTTGATTTGCTTATTCGTTCTGGGGGTGGGTGTTTATGTAGTTTTGTCCAAAGTGTGCTACTCCTGTGGCGGGCTCTTCGGAGGATGAGGAGGCGGATTTGCAGCTTGCTCTGAATGTAAGTCCTTGCCCGCTCCTGTTCTTGAAACTCTAGGAGATAAAACTAACAAGAGTTGACAGGCCCATTCGTTTCAAAACTTGGTCACCTGGGACCTAGAGAGAGTCCCGTATGAATTCCACCTTTGGCATATTACCATCATCCTGTATGGGTGGCTATTCCATTACTGATCGCAGATTGGCAGATATGATGGCGCTTCCCGAGGAGAACCCTACAAGCCCCCAGTCCACAAAGGAGCCCTGCCTACGCCCGACGCCGACGACGAGCGCGTCTACACGGGCAGTTGCCATTGCGGCGCAGTCACCGTCGCCACGGCGAGCAAGCCGCTCGACGAGACCTTCGAGGGGGCCATAGAATGCAACTGCAGCAGCTGCGAGCGTGTAAGTAGCATCCAACCATCCACTATCAGCCCTCTTCCAACATGCAGCACATAGATACTGATATTTGACGGCAACGCTGCATAGACCGCCGCCATCTGGACATACCACCCTAACAAAGCCGTCATCCTCGCCGGCGATGAGGCCAACATCGGTCGGTACCAGTTCAGCAGACGCATGCTGTCCAAGGTGTTCTGCAAGACCTGCGGCGTCATTCTGTTGAACCAGTTCAACGAGCTGACAGAGGAGGAGGTCGAGGCATTGCCGGAGCGGCTGCGGGGGTTTTACGACGGACAGCGCGAGTTTACGGGGGTGAATGCGAGGGTGCTGCATGGGGTGGATGTGGGAAAGTTGAATACGAGAAAGGTGGATGGGTTCAATAAGATTCCGGGGGATTATGTGAATCCTTGATTTAGTTAAGTTGAGAGCGTTGATTTGGCCGTGTCCTAAGATAATGTTAGGAACTAGAGGGGAGACGAAGAGTCACGGTGTGACAAGCAGCGTTGCCTTGAATATGTATCTTGTGGTATCCATCAATCTTAAATCGATTAATCTTATTCCCAGAGACTCCAGTTGGGATTAACCAAAGGCTGCTGCTTCAGCGGATCGTACATCTCGTCACCAGGACCGTAATCCCCTATAGCTTCATATGTAGAGAAAGCTTGAGGCCCTTCCGACTCAAGAATGTATCCGCTTTCACAACTGGTGAAGCTCACTTTCACCTGACTTCTATAGAACTCATCGTACTCGGTAGAGAGCGCATCATGGAGGTTTTGGACGTCCCCAGACGGATGAAGGCTTTTCCAGGGATGAATGCAAGTCTGCTGCTTGCAGGACTTGAGGACCATCATTAAGGCGTCCAGTCGGTCGACGACTTTTTCAAGGGGCCACTGTTCACCGCCGATGGTAACAGCTGCATCAACCAGACTCTTTCCGGGGGAAAGGAGATTGTGTACTTGTCCTGGGTCCGCCTGTCGTCACTCGGGGTCAGCTCATATCCTTTCTTTCTCTTCAACTTGCGTGTGCCTTGCCTTCATGTCATAAAGCTCCTTTTCGTTGCTGCACCAAACAGAATAGTAAAACCCATAATCTTCCGCCTCGATGCGAAGCCCCTTGTACGTGTTGTTGGGATAGATGGGCGGGCCGTCCTTCCTCCCAAAGATGCTCTCTGCAAGCCCCAATCCCCAAAATTCAACGGCAGCATGCTCCGAACGAGCCCCAGTGGCAGTTCCAAAGATATCAATAGGTGAGCCGTCAAAGTTTTTGTCGTCGATTTCGAGGCCGGCTATTTGCAAGATGGTAGGGGCGAGATCAGCGTGCGAAGAAGGAACGCGAGTGATTCTCTGGCTAGGAACTCCAGGACCACGGACAATAAGGGGGACGTTGATATCTGTCTCAAAACCGCACATTTTGCCCGGGTGCAATCGATGTTGGCCAATGTGATAGCCGTTATCAGAGGTGTAAAAGATGAAGGTATTCTCCAGCGCGCCCGCCTTGTCGAGGCGATCGACGACGGACTCGACGATTTCGTCTACTGCCTGGAGTGACCGGAGGCGCAACCTCTGGTACTCGTCATTGTAGTCAACTTCCTCATCATCCTGCTTAGGGAGCTTTGATACCCAGTTGACGCCACTTGGAGAGTCGGGGTTGAAGTTGGGCGTCCGAGGGATTTTATACTCCGGAAAGAGGCCTTGATGCCGCTCTGCAATTTGCGGGGGATCGAAAGCTCCCAGCGAGCCTTCTCCCACAACAGAATGAGGGGCGATTGGCGCAAGGGTGATGAAGAAGGGAGAATTTTCATCCTGGAGCGCATGTTGAAGGAACTCTTGGGCACTTTCAGCCACGATATCAGTCGAGTACTTGCCAACGGGGTTGGTTGGCGGCGCCCCGTTTATCGTGGTGCTGACGTTGTAGTACTGATATGTGAACGGGTCGAGGAAGAAGTTTGACTGAGAGTATCCACTAACTGGAGGCGAGTCGTAGTTGTCGACGGTATGGGAGTTGAAGAGCTTGCCGACGTAGTAAGTGTTGTAGCCGGATTGCTGCAGCCAGAGAGCAAGGTGGTGGTCATTGTATCCATTCTGGACAAACTTGGGGTATCCTCCTGTTTCAGATCAGCTACCGGGAGCCCAGCTCATCACGCATAGAGCTTGAATAAAGACAACTGAAAACTCACCGTAAGGGGGTCTCACGTTGGTGACATTGGTGTTATGAGCGAGCTGCCCAGTCCAGAGGGTGACACGCGCGGGACAGCATAGAGCGGCTAAAGGAAACAAGACAATTGTCAGTGTCTGATCGGGCATGCTCATGATGAATACCGGTGGAACACACTGGAACAATAGTGCTTCTCAAATGTGGTGCCTTGGTGGATTAGATGTTTTTGCACTGATGGCATATAGTCTAAGGATCCCATGTGATTGTCTTGGTCGTCTGTCAAGATGAAGATGATGTTTGGACGATTTGGGGCTGCATCCGCCCGGGCAATTGCAGAAAGCAGCCATGATGATGCAAAGATCGCGCGAGTGAGTTTGAGAACCATTCTCGGTTGCTGAATCGATCAACCTATCATGAAAGGGTCGAAGATTGCTGATGGCGTACCGAGTCGAGGTACGTCTTGGTATCAGTCATGAACCGCACGTCTTGAGATGGCAGGCCAGCTGCGTTTTTTATGTACTGATTGCGGTCAACGGAAGATCCACAAGCCTCCAGTTCAGACAAACCCTTTTCTCCGACTATATTCGACGATCACCAACTGCTGGGATGCAGAGAGCAGCTCAAAGTTGCGCCATGGCTGGGTCGCATGCCGTGCTCGCCTCTTCGCTGAATGAACTGTCGAGCGCCTACCCGGGAATCTGAAGGTCCCTCGTCTATCTTTGTTCTGAGCTCCTGTTTTCGACGTTTCCAAGTCTTCTACTGCTCTAGATCAAACGCAATGTGTCTGTTTATATAGACATTGTTTCCATAGCTCTACTAGGTAGCAGCAAGCAATTGTCTGGCAGGTAAGCAATATGCTTACCACAGCTTGTGACGCAAGCCGATGCAGCACCATAGTAAAGAACTATCCAATAACTGACATGACAGGCGTTAGCTCGTCCCGCCTGCCGGTTCGTCTGCCGGTTGTTCTGCGCTACACAGCGCTCACGGGTTGATTGAAGATGAGATTCCGAGACGGCAGATGCTTCGGAATCCTTTTGCACCGGCCCCATTGCGAACGAGTGGATTTATCACCGTATACAAGCGCCGTCTTTGAGATTGGTCAGAGCGGTTGCAGACAAGTTGAAGATGCCGTGGGTTTTGACGATTTCATAAATTCATGTCTCGCATGCTTCTCTTGACTTGGAAGTCGTGCATAAAGTTCAATTACGTCCCCGCACTTTGTTTTGGGACCAAGGACTGTAGTATGATGTATTGGCGAGTCTCTTCTCCCGGACTTCGACGTCTGTCGGCCTCCCGCATGCGGAGTCGGGAGAGGGGAAGGATAAAGCAAAGATTGTGCCTTGAGTAAGACATTCTAGGTACGTCCGGTCAGTAACACAGATGACTCAGTACATGAATCTACGCGTCTGGCGGAAATTTACCTGTAAGGCCGGAACGGCGTCTGCGCGTTTGTCTCTTCCCCTCCCATTTTCATATCCGGCATTGCAGCAGACTCGGGTTCTTTCAAAATCTTCGGGATTTCGGTTGACATTGGTGTCAATTTGTCGCACAAGACAGGATTTCTCTTCCTTTCTTGTTCCTTCAGAGATCATGGAATACGAAATTGACCAGGAGAGCCTTGATCTGATTATTGAGCTCCAATTGCAGGATGCTCAAAATCTCATCAAGGGCAAGTATCGCGAAGGCGAAGCTCCCGACTTCGAGCTGGCGCTTGAGTACTTCAATGAGGAGCTCGAATCCCTTCACACCTTGCTTCATGACCGAGCCATGACTCGCAGTGTGGCTCGTGCAGTAGTCAGTGATGCCGACATCATCAGACAGCTCGTCAGCTTAGAGGAGCAAGAAGCTCGCGACAGGGAGCTTGCGCTGAACGGCTTCAATGCGGATGGCGTCCATGAGGATGAGTTCCCTCAACGTCGGGAGTCGATTGAGATGGATCCTCTGGAGCAAATCATGTCCGATGAGATGACGGATAAGCTTATTGTCTTGTTCAATGGCGGCGACGAGCCCTCGTCTGTTGCTGAGTCGTCCAAAAGGGGCAGCCAGGCACGACCCTCAGCCAAAACCGGGCAGCGGCGTCGCTGTATTGTCTGTAGCGAAGAATTCCCATTCGTGGATACGCTGCGATGCCCTTGCTCTCATGACTATTGTCGAGGATGTCTCTCAGACTACATTAGCAGAGCAGTTGAGGACGAGTCTATATTCCCCCCTCGATGCTGCGGCCAGCCTATCCCAATCGACGGCGTCAATCGGATTTTCATACCGGCACACTTGATCGGCAAGTATCGAGCCAAGGAGCTCGAGTTCAATTCAGAAAACAGAACGTACTGCCACATTCCAACTTGCTCGGCATTTATTCCCTCGCAGTTCATCAAAGACGAAGTGGCCACATGCATCAAATGCCGGAGCAAGACGTGTGTGATTTGCAAAGACGCAACGCATGCAGGAGACTGTCCCAAAGATACAGCAACGGCCAACGTTCTCCGGGTCGCAGCAGATAACGGCTGGAAAAGGTGCTACAGTTGTCGTCGAGTTGTGTCGCTGTCGCACGGGTGTAATCACATATGTGAGTTCTTTCCTCCTCTGTTCCACCAGCATTAGTCTGGGCTTGTCGCTAAACCTCTCATAGATTGTCACTGCAAAGCTCAGTTCTGTTACACGTGTGGGAAAAAATGGAAAACGTGTGGTTGCGAGCTGTGGAGTGAGGATATGCTGGTTGCTCGAAATGCTGCTGGGCACCGAGCTGTGGCCGCAGCTCCTCGGCCTGCACATCAGGGCTGGGGACTTTGATGAAGCCTACACCCTGACGGATTCCGTGAGATCATGGCCCTTACAGTATTGGAAACGAAACCATGGATATTGGTACAAGATGCTGGTTTAGGACACTTGGGGAGACTGTCGACTTACCGATTATCTGAAGGCGAGAGGCAATGTGGTGTCATGTCGGGATATCAGTTCTAGGCTGGTATATGCCGTTCAGATCGCCTTGCGTGAAGGGCAATAGTGTCAGTTTGACCGGGAGATGCTCGAGAATATATCATCGTGCGGCCTGACCTCTTATGAGTTTGTAGGTCATTCGAACTACCACTATAAGTCCGGAGTCAGTTCAAGCCATGAAGTAAGGTAGCTTGCTTGATGGCACGAATCACACAGAAGCATTCTTGGACACAGACTATGCTGAGACCTCACGACTTCCTGCGTCGTCAGTCATTGGGGCTCTCTCGGGCTTCGAGTATTGTGATGTGATTGGGCGTGTCGGCAAACTCACAGGCGCTTCTCTCTTGTGGTATATTGTGCGGAGGAAAGCGAAGTGTAGAGGTCAAGAAGGCAAAAGACAATCGACCTTGGTGGTTGGTGGTTTCCTCCTGTTCTCTTCCTCCTCATGCGAGAGAAGGAGCGACTTATCATCGCCAATGGAAGTCTACAGTACTACGAATTGAACCCGAATGCATCCAAATGCAAACGCATCTACAAAAGTGCGAATACTACTTATCAATTAAATCATCGCACATCAATCTGCATCTTCGATATCGCAGAGTTGAAGCACTCATCATCGTTTGCGTCTCCTTTGTAGACCTGGAATTGAGAGAACCCCAAGTTCCCCATACGGGGAGAGTATCCACCCAATTCGTGGGGGATGCATCAAACGAAAGATTCATATCCTTGTATCCGGGCGGTCAGACCCTATCTCTTCGTCTTATCAAATCACGACATCTTCGATATCGGACGGGTCATCGGGGTCCGACCCGACTTTCTGACCGTCGCTCTCTGTCCGCTTCTTCTTTCTTTCTTATTTCCTCTTGTTCTCCTCTTGTAGCAGCAAAGGACGTGTTTTGATTTGCTCTGGTCTCGGTATACCCTCGAATCCCCTCTCTACTTTCTCGTCGAGCCTCAATTCCGTTATCGGTCCCGGCCGTGGGGCCCCGAAGCAGAGATGGTTTCCGCAGAGTCAGAGTTTGAGCACCCCCAAGGCGGCGCGCTGCAGACGGCAAAGGATCTCTTCTCCGGAGCTGTTGGAGGAATTGCCCAAGTTCTGATCGGTATGTTTTGACACTCTTCCCAACCCGATTCTCTTACCTTTCTCCCGCAGGTACTCAAAGAGGCGCAATTGGCGACGGTCCGGCGCGCTTTGTCGCGGCTCACCAGAACCTCAACCTCCCCAAATGTCTTATACGATAGAAGACTGACCAGCAATCCCTCCAGGCCAGCCCTTCGACATTGTCAAAGTCCGCCTGCAGACGTCGAACCAATACTCGGGCGCCGTCGAAGCCGCCGCCTCCATATACAAGAATGAGGGCGCCCTGGCCTTTTACAAGGGCACGCTGACGCCCCTCATCGGCATCGGCGCCTGCGTCTCCGTGCAGTTCGGCGCCTTCCACGCCGCGCGGCGGTGGCTCGAGGCTCGCAATGCCAGCCGGGGCCAGGCCTCTTCGGACCTGACCTACGGGCAATACTTCGCGGCCGGCGCCTTCGCCGGCGTCGCCAACGCGCCGCTGTCGGGCCCCATCGAGCACATCCGCATCCGCCTGCAGAGCCAGCCGCACGGCGAGGGCCGGCTGTACAACGGGCCCCTGGATTGCATCCGCAAGGTCAGCGCCCAGAGCGGCGGCGCCCTGCGCGGGCTGTACCGCGGCGAGGTCGTGACCGTCTGGCGCGAGGCCTTTGCCTACGGCGCCTGGTTCACCGCCTTCGAGTACCTCATGAACGCCGACGCCGCGCGCAACGGCATCGACCGCAAGGAGATCCCGAGCTACAAGATCGCCCTCTACGGCGGCCTCGCCGGCGAGGCCCTCTGGCTCGCCAGCTACCCCTTCGACGTCGTCAAGAGCAAGATGCAGACCGACGGCTTCGGCGCCCAGCAAAAGTACCCGAGCATGCGCGCCTGCTTCGCCGCCACCTGGCGCGCCGACGGCGCCAGGGGCTTCTGGAAGGGCATTGGGCCGACGCTGCTGAGGGCCATGCCCGTGAGCGCGGGCACGTTTGCCGTGGTGGAGATGACCATGAGGGCTATCAACTAAGAGGGAATGACGAGAGAGGTGATTCAAGGTTATGGAGATTCAGAGATGCAGCCTTTCTTTCCTTGGTACTTTGAAGGAGGGGGGCGTTAAGGGTTCAACAAAAGATAAAAGTCAATCGGTTTCTGATGAGCGTTTCTGCGGCAAGCAAAATCTGATAGAGACAGGATTCAAGGACAATAGCCGGCTTGGTAGGGTTCTAGATATAGGTAGTGTAGACGGTCGGATGGGTTCATCATGTGCGCTGTGAACATCTCGAGCATTCAACATGGAATTTAATGATACGATCTCGTTATACGTTATTCCAACAACTTATGTATGATGTTCATGTTGATGAACTACGTTTCTGCGTTTCCGTTACCACCCGACATTCTCATTATTCTCCACCCGCTTCTGCAGGATCTGCCTTGCATTCAGGGGCGTCAGAGCCACAAGCTCCAGCTCCTCAAGAACCCTCCGCGCCTCATCATTGTCCTTGAACGCTCGATCGCTCGCCTGCTTGAGCGTCATACCTTCACCCTCTGCCGTAGCAGGCAAGTTCAGCAGGACCAGCCCCTCGCGGAGAGCTTCCAGCGCTGCCGAGCCGTTGGGGATGAAGCGGTCCACGAGCGAAAAGATGGACGCGCAGTCGTGCGCAAACTGCGCCGCGCCGAGCGTGGTAAAGGTTTGGCGGGTGAGGACGCTGTGCCAGAGCAGGTCCTGCAGCTTATCGAGCGCATCCCTCCAGACACGGCGGTAAGACGCAGCTGACAGCGCTCTGGCCAAGAATTCCAAATTCCTCTTGAGCACGCTCAGTGGCTCATCTAGCTCTGGCGTGATAGACAAAGCCGAAGAGTCATCTGCTAGGACTCACGTTAGCAGAAGCTTTCATGGCATTCTAGGAGGCGAATAAAGCTCCTACCTGGAGTTGCGCTTTCGCCGACTGTGGTCCATTGAACATTGTGAGTGTAGGCGCGCAGCGCTTTGGAGTGTGACTCGACCAATGCGCCCACGAGCAGGTCTTCGCCCGCCTTGCGACGGTTGGTGTATGCCGCAATGGTCTCGTCAAAGATGGCACCATTCTCGTCGCCCTCGTCGACTGCGGCGACGGTGCGTTCCTTGAGATCGTCGCCGGCCCCGACTACGCTGGCGATGGCCGAGGTTTGCGGTCTCAGTCGCCGGGATTCACGCCTATGCAGCTGATCCCACAGAATGACAAAGAACTATGGCCTTCGTCAGCATTTTCTTTTTTCCTATGCCTCAGTGCTTTTGATTCACTCACCTCTTCATCTCCCCATTCAGTCAACGTGGTGGCAATGTGATCAGCACTACCAATCACCTTGCACAGGGTCTCCAGAGCCCCAGTGCCTTCCAAAGCGGCCAGCTGCTCTTTCGTGACGCCGTGAATGGTCCGGCCTAGTGTAGACGTAAGAGCCTGGTACGCCTCTAGCGAGCTTCGAAGCCGATCATGGTATGCGTCAAGTATATCCAACTGGATGTCCGTCAGGAACTTGAGCTTCTGCTTGACCTTGCGGAGACGCTCATATTTGGTCGTCACCACGCGCAACAGGTCGGTGATTTGCACAGCCGCAAATGTGGGCTTCATCTTGCCCGGAAGTGAATAGTCATAGTCGATTTTGCGTGCATCTCGGGATTCCATAATCACTTCGAACCTCTCCAGCGCAAAGCTTCTCTCGGCCTGGAACCACACCTCAAAGTACCTGTCCAGAACGCTTTCGGATAACCCTGGCCAGCCGTTCTCCGGATCCCCCCCGTCATAGTTGAATCTCGAGCGGATAGTTTCGTCCAGAGTCATGAGTTGCGAGATGAAGCTGCTCAAGAATCCGGGATTCGCGCTCGTTTCTAACAGTACCGCATCGACCTTCTCCCGAACAACAGGCAGCACTGCCGTGATGAGGGCGCATGCAGGATCGGCATAAACGGTCTTGTCGGCTACCGGTGTCTCGCGAAACTTGGATGCCAAGAGATAGCCCAGATTGTCGCGAAAGAAGTCCTCCCACTTTTCCAAAGTCGTCAGAAGCCAGGGGAAGCAATGAGTCCCGACCGACTGAGGGCTGCTGGTCGGCTTGTCGCTAAGAAAGTGGAAGCGAAACTCGGCAACGAACATTTTCGCCATGACCTCGAATGGCAAGAGAGCCACGACATCTGTGCTGTGGACGATCTCTGGCATTTGCAGGTCGAGCAGCTTCTCGATGCACGCCAGCCACTCTTCGTCCATCTCCGACTGAGGATCGACCTTGGGCCAGTGTTTCTTGTTGAGCACGGTTTCCAGTTCTGCAGACATGATTTGCTTCATTTCGGTCCAGAGGTTCTTGGTCATCTTGTCGACATGGTCCACCAAGTGAAGCTCGTCGTTTCCGGGCAGAGACCTCAGCCTAATCACCAGCTCTCTCAGCTGCGCATACGGTTCGAGCGCCTGCTTGGGGCTGTTGGGCAGATGAGACCGAGCCTCCTTTCGCAGCCTCTCGGCGTCTTGAAGCAGCATGAAGTATTTTTGGGCCAGCTGGACATTTTGTAGCTGCTTCATTGGCTTCTGCAGTCGCTCAATCGCTTCGCTCGGCGCATCTGATGCAGCAGCTATCTGGACTCGCCTGTCGATGCTCTCCTGCAGATCGTTGAACTCAAAGATGCGTGTCTGCAGCTCAGCCTGGCGCTCCTCGGCGATGCGCCGCGCCTCGTCCAGCTGTTTGATGGCATCGTCGAGCTGCGACTGGAGCTGGTTCCGCTGCAATTCGACATTGTTGAGCAGCTCGTCGAGATTTTCTAGATCGGCAGTGGACTGGAGCTTGTCCTCGAGGTAATCTTCGACGCGAGTATCAAGGGAGACGCCATTGGCGACTGCGGACATGGAGGTCATTTTTGTACGTGGGCATTCCAAGCTGCGATGAAGCTGCAGGTTAGTAGTATGACGATGCGCGATGCAAGCGGTTGGAGACGGCTGGCCAAGATGGATGCTTATTGGCGGGCGATTGTTTATCGATATGCGTCTACCGGGGAGTCCCGAGATCGCACGACATGCTTGGCTTAGTATTAATGACTTGACCTTGGGTGAATCTCGCGGTGGTTGTGTCTTTATTGTTGGTTCAATGCAACCCTTTGCAGTATTGGAAGTCATCATGGCATCTGGTATATAGTCTGTCTTGACGGTATGGCTGTGGCAATCGTGGAACAAGCAAGACAGCAGGCTACATGTAGCGTCGACAGATGCAAACGCAGGGGTACATAAACCGCCAAGCTGACCCGATACAACACGGACATGCAGTGCTTACGCGGAACTGCTGTGAACGGCGGTCTCCACGGCGCAAGGCATGTCTGCATGAAAAGGGGCATGCGACTCCAAGGAACTCCCATAGAGACAAGTGATCTGTTTGCACGAAGCTGTATATAAGAACACTCTTGGGTGAACCTGATGAACACGAGCTTTGCCGAGGCATTTCTCAGTACTCGGTGCAGTTGAAAACCATTTTCCCATGTTGGTGCGTGCAAAGAGGATTGCTATATATAGCCCTTCTCTCCTCTAACTTCAACAGGTAACCATCATAGGGCAACATGTCTTCAATTCAATGTTTACCGCTTACACGCAACACTAAACCCTTGTTGGGGCGGTCAGTACCTAGGGCTGCGCCTCTCTCATCGTCCGTGTCCGTGTAGTAGTACTCGTAAGAACCGCGTACGCACCACGCCGGGATTCTCGTACGGAGCGTGAGCGTGACAACAAGCTGGAAGCTGCCAATTAATGCCTGACACGACCCTAGGGCATTAGCCTCGACCAGCTCGCCTTGGCTGGGAGAGCCAATGGATCGTCACGGCCACCCGCCCACGATACGAGGAGCGCCCGGAACTGGTGGTCTCTTTCAGTTGAATTGATGAGGCCACTGGCGGTTAACGGTCTACCATGGTATTCTGCGTAAAAAGTGCCAAACGTGAAGGCGCAAGTAAACATGCGCCGATATCTGATGATGCCTGTAAGCAACCCCGGAGCGTAAAAGACAGGCGACGCAGGTACTCGCGCACTTATGCGTGTCTGACCTGCAAATTCGCCCTCTAGTTTCTGCCTGAATGCCTCAATCGACGATCGATCGCGCGCAATGCAGATGCAAATCGCCAAACGAAAAAAAATGACCAGACCTGAAGCCGGTTTGTCGCCCATGCCTCTCCGTCAAAGCCGGGCTCAGGCTCAGCTCCAGCGCTCCAGCTCCTCCTCTTTGGCGCACTGATCCCCCTGCAAGGCACCCGCTGAAAATGGGCCACAGGGGCTGGGAACCCACCGGCGCACCTCCGTAGCGCCCTTCAGCAGCGGGCTTCTTCAGTGCAAGACCAGCCTCCGGCCAAGCTTTTTCGCCCCGCGGCCCAACTCCTTGCGGACGTCACCCCGGTCGCCCGGCAACCATAGTCAACACCATGGAAAAGGTGGCTGGGCCAATCAGAATGCGCGCTGTCTTCTTCAGTCGGCATGGGTTGGCGAGTTGGTCACTCCCAAAGACGCACTCACTCAATTCTTGTTCCCAGCCATCTGGATTTCAAAAAAGAAGAGGGAAAAAAAGAGACAAGATTATCCATTCAATCAGGTCCATTTGGCCCCGTTTGAGGCTGCGTGTTACGTCGCTCTCCCTCGCTCTCGTGCATCCCCCCCCCCAATTCCTCTTTTGGGGAGCTTTCTTCTTCCTCCTTTGAGCTAAGTCTCGTCCTGCACGTCGTCCAGGACAACTGATTGCACGCAGCAGCAAGACACCCGCACTCTGAGCAATCCAGGGTCCAAGCGCATTCCACGCTCGTTTTGATCTGGAAAAGCAATTCTCTTGCGGAAAAGACGGAGCTGGCGGAATTGCTGAGCAGCGCGGGCTTACACTCATACATACCATTATCCACATTCCAGCTTGCGTCTGCAACCCTCTCGCGGCCAACGCTACAAGTTCCAACGTCTGCCGCCTCAGAGACCCAAGCGCCACGAGGGGTATCGCGACTGGCCTCAAGCCCTGTGGACCGAAGCGTGTCTGCCTTCGTGTGGGGGGCAATAGCAGCAGCGTGCGATTACTCCAGCGACTCTGCGCTGCGCCTGTGACATACCGACTGTCGCTTCACCATCTTCCACCCGACAATCGTCGCGACGACGCCCTCACTCAGTCTCGTTTCTAGAGAGGGACGTCTCCCTCTAGAACAACAGCAACCATGGCCAGCGGATCGGGGACCACTTCGACCACTGTCAGTACGAAGATTGTCGCGCGCAGGTTCCATATAGGATGGCATCGTGAGTCACCCTCCCAGCACGCAAAGAACAATGCCGGCCCGTCACGGCGATTCTGGAATGCGGCAAGCAGTCTAACCCGGTGTCTCAACAGGCTTCGTCCCCTTCCTGGGCTATCACCACGTGTTGATGATCTTGATCGTCGTCGCAATCATCCTCCTGTGTAAGTCGCCTTTGTCTCGATTCCAGCGCCCGTATGTTGCTCATTCCCGCCTTTGCTGACCGCTCTCTCTCACTCCAGCACTGCTGCTCGCCGGTTGCTCGTCCTCGTCGCCGCTGATTCCCGGCATCTTCCTGCTCTCCATCTACTACAAGTCCTATGAGGCGCATCCCGACACCGCGCAAGTGGACTACAACTTCTACACCGCCCTGAACAACATTGCTGGAAACGCCCATCTGCAGGCGCGCGTCGGCTACTTTGGCATCTGCGTCAATCCGGATGGCGGGTCGTGGCTTTGTAGTAACAATGCGACAGCCCTGGCTAAGGAAGTCTCAGTGGACCAAGACCCCCTCAACCTCATCTGGCTGGCTGCTCAGTTCAAGGACATGATTGTGTTCCCTTACTTGATGTGAGTTGGTAGAGCTCATAATAAGCCCATGTGGCATCGCGCTAACCGCCCTCTTCTAGCATCATCGCCATCATCTTTGCCTTCATCTGCCTGCTCCTCCTGGCGACTTTCCCTGGATGGCACGAAGAGGAGGACTCTGAAGGATCCGAGCGCGAAGTTAAGCCGTTCCCCTCCCGCCCCGTCTCGCAAATCGCCCTGGCCATCATCTTCATCTCCTCCATCTTCGTCCTCGTCTCGGTCCTCTGGCAGCATACAGCATCCGTCGCAGCGTCCGTCATCGCCCAAGACTTTGGCAACGGGGTAGTCAAGAGTGGCGTCGGTAGTAGCGCCATGGTCATGGGCTGGTTCTCGTTTACGCTGCTCATCATCGTCACCATCGGCTTGCTCGTCATGATATTGAGCATACGCGTCCTGAGTTCCATGGTGTGATGAGCAAGCAAATCTCGGATCTCATGTTCGGAAAAGGGATATGAATCAACGAGTGAAAAAAGAGCAAAATACCCAATGAGGGCTAACGAATGGTGGACATGATATATGAGATGGGAGATCTATGTGTATATGTGACGGGCGATACCAAAGGGGCATGTAAACGGGCGGCACAACTTTCTTCAACTTTAGGGGGTTGGTTGGTTTACAGGCATTATCAGCATCGGAGTTACGACGGCGTTTCCGCGAGAGAAAATACCTAATCTCGTCCCAGACGACAAACAACAAAAATCCGGACTCCGGGACCCAAAAAAAGAAATACTTTTGCTTTCACTCTTGAGACGGACAGACGGGCGGACGAACCGGAATCTACGCCTTGACGATCGAGATCGACCTTTGTTTTTTTCCTGCTGCCTTTCTCCCCAAATCTCTTGGCCCGGCAACCGCCACGAGCCCAGGAAACGCGGAAAAGACACTGGAACGATGGAAGACGGCAAGGCTTGTTGGATAGACTGAGGTTCCGGGAAAGAAGGGGGGTCATGTCCGGATGTTTTCTTCCCACCGGGGCGAGTTATAGACGACGATTCGACGGCCCGAATTTGCCATGTGTTACTGTTCTTTGATTTTTTTCTTTCTTTCTTTCTAGGCTTCACGGATGAAATGTGTTTCACGCCATTTTCCCCCATGTTTATGTTTCCCTCCCCTTTTTTTATGTTCTTGGTTCTTTCAGGAAGAGTGTGAAATAGGTACAGGCACAGGCAGGGGAAGAAACTCAACTTTTTCAGTGCACTCTTTGGGAATGCCCTGGTATATATCACCCATTGACTTCTTTTCTTTTTGCAATTTCTGTGAAGGTTGAAATAGACCTTTCCCATTGGTTCCGGAGAATGACTTTCATGTGTACCTTTATGCGCAGACGAGAGGAGAGGAGAGGAGCTGGCTTGGCGGCTTGGATCTTTAAGTGGACGAGATGATACCATTGACGACAAAAGGAAAAGGTAGACTGATAACGGCCAAGATTATTGAAGTTACCAATGTTCTGAGAAAAAGTCTCCTGGCTTTACTACTACCAAGATCCTCAAGGCCTTGCCAGTGGTCTGATTCATGCGCCTCAAACCGAACGGAACGCATATGCATGTCCATAATTCGTATTCCTAAAACTACTCGTAACGCCTCATTGCGACTCTGACTCCATAGGTATGCAAGCACGAGTGCCGTCTTCAAAACTTTGCAAAAAGCAACAAGACAGCTAGGGAAAATCAGGCTATGCCCCAAACACACAAAGACACGCCGCCCATAAGCAATATAACAGTAGCGCTGCCGGATAACAGATACTCCTCAAGTGATATACTTCTCTCTCCATCCCCTCATTGCCTTCTTTTTATATACTATGTCCAATAACACTGCCACCGGGCCTCTTGAAGGGATGAGCCTCGGTGTTGAGCACCCACTCGTCCAAGCTGATGACGCTCGGCTCCGAGAAGAGCAAGTAGTAGTACTTGAGCGTCTCGGCGAGCCAGAAGCTCTCCATCTCGTCCTTGAGCCCGGGCTCGTCGCTGTTGACGTCGTCGATGGCACTGTTGGCGATCTCCGTCCGGGTAGCACGGATCGTGGCCTCGAACATTTTCCAGCCTTTCTCCATCCAAATCGGGTCGCCTGTGATGCGGTACATGTACCATACCGACTCAATAGCCTCGGGTCTATCAAACAAAAGAGGTTAGCTATGGGCTGCTATAATGAAGATCGGTGGAGATACTTACCGGAGGATGTACTGCCTCGATGAAATGTGAACAACACCAGGGGCAAGACCCATATCGGCAATTCTTTGCTTCACAAACTCTTCATGTGACTGAGGCTTTTCGGGGAGAACGATTTGCTGCTCTTCAGGCTCCTGAGGGGGCAGCCGGTGGGCTTCCAGTACCGAGTCAACGGGCGCATCGGGGTCTCGTTGGATGCCGACGCTGCTTTCTGTCGGCTTCTTCTGCTCGTCATTCTTGAAGCCAATCTTATCCTTGAGCGACTGCGGTAGCTCTGAACCAACATTCTCGTCAGCTCCAGACTTTGGCGGCAGGACCGCGGCTCTCTTGTGAATGGCTTTGGAGCCTCCGGCAGCTTCATGGTTACTAGCAGTTTCCTTAAGGGCTTCGCCGGCCGCCGCTTTGTCCTTGTCGCTGACTTTCCTGGGATCGCCCTTGTCTTGCGGGGTCTTCTTCGCCTGCTGCTTCTCGAGCGCCAGCTTCTTCTCTTCCCACTCGGCCACCTGCTTGTCTCTCCAGTCCTTTGCCCCATCCAGCTTCTCCCACCAAAGGGTTTCGTTGAACTCGCACTTCTCCAGCGTTGGGCAGGCCATAACCTGGGAGCCTTCCGGCATGATACCAGACACGGTGGACTGGTAGGCCCAGACACAGCCGTCTGTCAGCCTCTTGGCCGTTTCAAGATCCTTTTCTCGACCAAAGATCTTGCCGCCCAAGCCGTACATGCCGCCGATGAAGCAGGTCAGATGCGTCACTTCAAAGGTTGCCACGAGATCTTGCGATGGGTTTCCCGATGTGCTGACCTTGGCGGGGAAGAGAATATCCCAGTCACCATCAGTCATAGGCCTATAGAGGAGCCACTCGTTGATCGCTTCGACAGCGTCCACGTACAGCTTCTGATACTTGGACTCCAGACCCCCGAGAAGTAGGTACTCCTTCGGGAAGTATTCGTACGCCGAATCTTGGCCACCTCCCATGTGATATTGCTGAAATCCGTATCCGCTCACTACCAGGCCCTGGGGAACGCAATCCCAATTGGCCGTGAAGCCATCAGCCCCAAAGGGGGGAGCTCCTCGCTTGGCTGTCTGCTGGGGTGGCACCTGCTTGGCCTTCTCCACGGGCTCATTCTCACTTGCGCTCACGTCTCGGCGACGGAGAGAAGGGTCAGACGGACGGGTCTCCGTCTTATCGTCCTCGCGGGGCCCTTGCTTGGCGTAGTCGGGATTTTCGGTCCCTATCTTTCCAACCACGAAGTCACCAGACTTTGCCCCCGGAGCCTCAGGAAGCTTCTGTTCATCTCTTGGGTCTTCTGCCCCTATTTTTCCAACCACGAAGCCACCGGACTTTGCCCCAGGAGCCTCGGGAAGCTTCTGTTCATCCCTTGGATCCTCTGCCCCTATCTTGCCGACGACGAATCCCTTGGCTGGTGCCTCTGGCTGCGCAGCGAGAGTCTGGTCGTCCCGTGGATCCTCGGACCCAATTTTTCCGACAACAAAGCCATTGGCCTTCTCCGCTGATTTGTCGGCCGGCTGATCAGTCGACTTGCCCAGAGATTTGGCCCTCGCTTCATCAGCAGCCTGTAGCTGTGCGATTGCGTCGTCTGTGTTGAACTTTCCAACTACGACCTCGTTTTCTTGGGCACTCTGCTTCTCTGCAGGTTGCTTCTCGACGGTTTGCGGCCCTGTCTTGGTGCCCTTTCCGGGGATATAATTTTCGGGCTTCTTGGATAGATCGTCGTCCATCTGCTTCTGCGCTGCCTGGCTCAATGAGCTGCGGAGAGCTGTTGCGGTATGGTTGCACCCAGAGGCATCCAGACTCTCGGGAAACAGACCGGGAATGGAAGTACCTTGCTTTTGGAGCTCGACCAGGGCATCGGTAATGCGATCCACGGCATCGTAGTACTTGTATTCGCTGGTGAGCTGGGCGAGGCGTGTAAACTCCATGGAAAGCGTACCGAGCTCTGCTATACCAACAGAGCCGGCGCGATGAGGCTGGGATGCGTATTCTGGCTGCCATTGATAGTACAGAAGGGGCATCCGGTTTGGCGTGTCGAAGATGCCCATGAGGATCTCGGCAAGCTCAACAGCCTTTTCCAGGAGTATGGGATAGCCACCATCATGGCCACCACTCACGTCGAAGGCGCCGAGCAGGCCACCTAGATATCTGATGGTCGTTTCGAAGACGGGGATGTTGTTGCGAGGAGTCGTAGTGAAGTCGATCTGCTCAACGGCCCTGGCCGCTTCGTCGAACTCTTCCCTGAGCCCCGCAATCCACAGAGTGTCGAGGGAATCCACCAAGGTGGCAGCCCATCCGCAAAAGGGGTCGCGATGCTTGGCAGAGACGGGCGACAGCTCGTCATGCATCCAAGCAAACTTCTTGTAGCCTGACCATGCCCGCTCAATCTCCTTGGCAACGCGCTCTTGTCTGGTGACTCGTCTGGATTTGGCTTCTGGCGATTCAACGCCAAACTCGTGCTGGACGCGGGGAACCTTGAGCGGCTTCCCAGTAGGCAGGCTAATGACGGATTCGGACGGCACGGGGAAGTGCTCCTTCTGAGGCCTCCAATGCACTCGGGTGTCAGGCGGCAGCCGGTTGTCTTCGGGGATCACAGCATCCTTGGGCGGATTCTTCTGGTGGATATCCTCAATGACTGCATCCTCGTCGGTGGAGGCTGGCTTGTTGCTTGCCGGCTTCGATTCCGCATCCGCGTGGACAGGCGGCTTGCCGTTGACAGGTGGTTTCGAGTCGTCCAGTTCCTTCAGCTTGGGTAATTTGACGCCGGTCTCTTCTTCGTCGTCGTAGCTGGGCTTGGCCTGCGCCTTCTGGCCACCAGCAGCATGCTCCGGCGCTGGTTTCGACTCGGGCTCGGGCTCGGACTGGGGCTTTGGCTTGGCTTCGGGTGTATACTCGTGCTCAGGTTTCGCGGCGGGCTTGAGAGGGACCTCTCCTCCTGCGGCTGGCGGATTCGAGGCAGGAGGGTGGCGAAGGCTGGTATAGTGCGCGGAGTCGTCCCATGTGTTCTGCGAGACCCGGTAGAGGAGGAAGAGGATGACGACCGCGCATATCATAAACAGCCTGTACCTGCGTCGTGCCATCGTGGCGGGCAGTGCAGAGACACAGGCAGATGCAACTGGTCGAAGGAATGGGTAGCCCGCACGTGAATCGGCTCAGGCGCAGAGGGGGGCTGAGGAGAGCTCCGGACGGCCACAAGTCAGTTTCACGGGCACATGGGCGAGGACCGCGCTGAAAGACGCCGGCGACAAAGAATGTCAAAAGCACAGCAAGAAGAAAGACGGAGCAACGAGAAACAGAGCAGAAGGAGAGAAGAAGAAAGAGAAGAAGAAGAAGTGCCCAAAGTGCTGCCGAGAGACGAGCGCAGAGGGGAGGTTCCAGCGTCCAGGAGCAGAGGCGAGTCGCAGCTGCAGGGACTTTTACCTGGGGGCGATTTGGCAGCAATTGGATCGAGGTCGCACCTGCTGGCTCTCGCTCCTTTCTCCGTCCTGGTGCTCGTACCGCCTGGGTACCTGCTCCGTACCTTCCAATTAGCAGCGGGCGGCGTGTCTTGGCATTTGGAGCATATCGCGACCAGAGGCTGCGAAAGCAGGGAGAGTCCCAGGTAGGAAGTATGGAGTACACGAGCGACCGGCCCGCAGTCAGCACCTCTGCAGGTACAAGTACTCCCTATTCCCAGGCCTCCAGCATGGCGAGCGCTGGAGCTTGAAGAACCGCCGGCAGTCACCGAGCCAATCAAGAGCGCCGACGGAACTTGGAGGATACCTGATGGAGGCAACAACTGAAAGCACACAGCAGAGTACAAGTAATACAACCTAATAAGCCCTACCTCGCCTCTCCTCTCCCGGAACCATAGACGCGGAGACGGAGCAATCCATGCTGGGGAGAAGAAGCGTAGGAGCAATTGGAGCAATTCATGCAGTGGAGCCGCTGAAACGGCAGTGGTGAAGCTGCAGCCAGGCGGCTTCTACCAGTAATACCAGCAGGCAGTTTACCTAAATTTAGTGCTGCAGAGGGCATGTTGCATCAGCACATCTGCCGTTTTAACGGCTAATGAAGATGCGAGAAGAATCAATAGTCTGAGTAACTTATAGCCGTTCAGGAAGTTGGCTCACGTGTGTATTGGCAAGCCCGCAGAGCTTGGAAGCAGTCGGGATAATACCCTGTCCAACCGACTGGGGTACACCATTAAGGTTGGCAGTTCTAGACTCCGGCCCATTCAGAACTCGATCGGCTAATTCGCCTGGAGACGCCAGTTTAGCAGATTATCGGGATGCTCATCAGTCACAGGCGTGAAACCAGAGGGCACAGGGTACCGTCAGGTACATACAAAGTGCTCCGTGCTGCATCCCCCGCCGTTAGCCATTCCCGCCTCCTCCATTGCGGCATCCGTTCCGTACCTTACTCTACTCTTGTCCCACAAGGGCGGCCTCAACGGCTCTCAGCTCGACCAACAGCACCCACCAACAATGCGGCTCATTTTGCCGAGTCTGGGGCTGTTCATAAGAGCAACAGACCTGAACTGGGATATGAACGGAAACCCAGTGATAGTACCAAGGTAACTTATGATGTGGTCTCGCATAGGAGGAGCAAGGCGAAAGGGACTCGCCTACTATGAAGGAGAGCACAGGAGCGGTAGATCATCTGGTTGAGCTCTATTCTCGATATTTACCCTGGGACCATGAGGAGGCTACTCGTATGGCAATGAAGCGATATGAATGTGGCTTACTAGAGAAGAGTGAGGACAACTGAGCATCACAGGACGGCTGGGGGGAGCAGAGCTCAACCGTTCATGGTGACTTCTGAGCATCTCTGGCTGGGATGCTTGGATGCTTGGATGCTCATCGAATGACCAGTGGCTTGTCACCGGAAACAGCATGAACTCGCCATTTCACCCGTCTCCAAGAATCGGTATGCAAAGGCAAAGGGAATCAAGGCTGTTTACAGATGGTTCATCGAGGATCCTTCGATGTCGCCTGGGCGTTGCGCGGGTACGGGAGCACCCGGGATCTATCCTTGACGGTGCGCTTTGTCCAGCTTCAATCGTTGCGTACTTCTGCCGGAAAACTAGCCGGTCAAGCAATGAATGAGAGCCGCAGGGTCGTGGATGGTGATCCTGCAGCAAGTCGCAGTCGAAAGCTGCCTTCGTTCTCACAAGTCGCAGACTGTGAATCATGCCATCAAGAAGCAAACAAGGCAAACTCCAAGTCCAACCTGCGGAGCATGACGATGATGCTTCATCACAGAAGCCCATTCTCATGCTTGATCAGCGCATTTGGCGTGCTCTTGCGTACACTAGCGCCACCAGACACCCAGCAGCTAATCAGCAGAGGCCGGCCGGTGGCGGGTTCCGCTGCCCGCATCAGACCACCGCCTTGCATCTGCTGCGTCCTGGCCGATGGACATGATTTGAGCGAGCGTCTGCAGTGGCATGTGTTGGCACCAATCCCTGGAACTGGACTTGGCGATATCCCGAAGCAGGTCGCAAGTCTGACAGTCTGTGAAAAAGGAGGCGCTGGGATCGGGCGTGGCTTGTCTTGTGTTGTTCAATCAGCTTCGCCGACGTCGGCACTTCCTGTGATTCGCCCTTTATAACAGACTCGGAACCTCGCTGAACCTCCCCAAGCTTCAGCCCATATTTCGACTTGCTTTACCCAACATCTCATCCGAATTCAACGTCCAATATCATATAACAACACCACTCGCCACAATGTGCATCGTGCTCTTCACAACGGCACATCCGAGCTACTCGCTCATTCTCATAGACAACCGTGACGAGTTTATCCTGCGGCCTACGTCACGGCCGCACTGGTGGACGCACCCAGAGTCGGGCGGCGAGGTCCTATCTTCGCGAGATCTCCAGAGGGCGGCAAAGGGCACTTGGCTGGGTATCACAAAGACCGGCAGCCTGGCTGTACTCACCAACTACCGGGAAGCCACTAACGATGACGCCGAGCACCCGATACACGGCATCAAGAGCCGGGGCCGCATGGTCAACATGTGGCTCGGGGGACTTGCAGACGAGGGACTGATGAAGGGCGTAAATGAGCTCGTCAGGGACGGCGGTGTCAAAGGCGTGGGCGGCTTTTCCATGGTATGCGGCAAGCTGAAGCGCAACAGCGAGGGCATCGCCATTGTAAGCAACAGGGCTGCCGAGGCGAGCGACGTCCCGATAGTCGGATTGGAGCCAAATGGCGTCTGGGGACTCAGCAACACCGTGTACAACGACCCCAACGAGTGGCCCAAGGTAACGACGGGAAAACGCCTCCTGAAGCAAGTCGCGCAAGACGCCGCAGCAAAGCATTCCTCTGAAGAAGAGCTTATTGCAGGCCTGTTTTCCATTCTCGACACAGAATCCATGCCGGAGCGGCCTTCCGGATGGAGCTTGCAGGAGTACATGAACTTGATGAGACATACCATATTCGTGCCTCCCATCGGCGACGATGTCAACCGCGAAGAGATGCAAAAGGCCACCTCAAAGGGGCGTGTCTTGTGGGCTCATATGCAAGACGATCAGAAGGCAGTCGAGGAGCTCAAGCAAGAGTCGAGACCAGAGGTCTCACCCAGCCCGCACCCGTCTATTGGATTCGAAGAGGGCATGTATGGAACGCAGAGGCAGACGGTGCTTCTGGTGGATCACGACGGCAACGCAACCTTTGTCGAGCGCGCTCTGTGGGATGCTAATGGGAACGAGATTCCCCGAGGACAAGGAGACGTTGCTTTCCGCTGGAAGATTGAGGGCTGGGATGAATGAATACCTCTCATTTCATCTTATTCGCTGAGGATAGACGGATATTTCTTTGATTGGAGTAGAAGCGGGTCGAATTTGGGCGATATACCGGACGAGCAACGTCGAGGATCGGGACGAAGGACGGTCTAGGACGCACGGCAGTGCAGTTGGCATTTATATCGTGCTCTTAGACGGAGATGCAACATCATGGTCGGCAGCAGAAGAGTCTTGACGCATGGATCGAGGCGAGAGATGGCAGGTCCTGTATCGAAGAGTCAGAGTCAGAGCCAGAGTCAGTAGCAACCTCGCCTTCGGGTTGTATACCTAATACCATCCCTGCCAAGTGCAGCATCTTGGAGTATCCGAGTCTCCTCTCTGATCAAGCACCAGAAAGTCATTGAATCATGCTCTCGGAATAACTGCACAGCCGGAGACTTTGCCAGTGCGAAGGTGGACTCTGCCGGGCACCTGCCACAGCTGCTTGCACCCATTCTGCTGCCAGTTGCGCCCACAACTGTGTTCCTTTTCTCTGCCACGCGTCAGTTTGTCTTCATCTTCGACATCTTCTCGACAAAGACGCGTCTACGGTTGCCTTTTGGCTCTTTACTCTTTTACGCCGCTGCCGGTCTTTGTCCGCCTTTCCCGTTGTTTGCTGTGTTGCTTGGAGGGAGCAAAGGCCATTTGGTGTTGACCAACCAAACACACGCGCACGCACGCACACTCTCTCTATCTGCTACTTATGACTTTGACGATTCTTCACGGCTGGCCTTTGAAGGCAATCCATCTTCAGCCTTATTTCCTGTTTGGGAGGCACGCGGAGGCCGCATTCTAGCCTCGACGCCTTGCACGGGCGAAGGCGATCCTCTCTCGTCGCCCCTTCTCGCGGCAACTTCTCTCTCCCAAGGTGACTGGAGAATATCCAACTCAAGTCGCCTGGACAACAGCTGCCTGCTCTTCTCGAAGGAGCGCTTTAAAGAGATAGAGCAATGGTCGGAGAGTTCACGCCACAGTAAACAAAGCCGCTCTGCTGGAAACCTTCTTCATCCTCCACCTCGACAAGCCTCTCCTCGAGACCTGGATCCATACCCAGAAAGTCGTTGGATTGCGCCGCCCAGGCACACCAACAACACCCACCTTCGGCATCCGTTGCCGCCGATTGATCCAAGATGCGTGGCCGGGAAAAGGATAAGAAGAGACGGCCCCTCATCTCTGCACCCGTCGGCCCTGTCAAAAGCTCAAGAGGTGCCGATCTTATCCGAAGCGAGAGGCTCATCATCGTCGATACCATCGATGACTGCGAGACGGCCAGCTCTGATTCTACGCTCAGACACCGCAGTCGCTTGCCAACACACAACTTGAGGCACATCTCGGACAGTTTTCGCAGTGACGGACAGTTGCACAGCAGCCCTACCGACGAAAGCTGTGATAGCGCTTCCACGCCGACCATCAAGGCCTTTCTGGAATCCAAGTCGTCAAAGAAGCAGCGCAGAAGCTTACTATCGACAACCTCATCCATACCAAAGCCGTCTTTCAAGGCTACACTGCTCACAGTGTCAGTCGCCGCTCAGCAGGACGAGAATATCCCCCCAGCGTCTGAAGGTCTTTTCCATCTAAATCCACCAGCACAACGCGTAGCCAGCAAGCTGCCAAAGTCTCGAACCATGAGCGCCCTCCATGAGTTGAAAACATCCATCTCTCGGCCATCGTTGGTTGCTCGCTCCGTCAACGTGTCAGCCTTTGGAGGCCCCTCGGCCAAATCATCTCCATCTTCCAACGGGACCACCCTGACTCCTATCAAGCTTTCCGAGATGAACATGTCACAGCCATCTACAACCTCGCTGGCCAAGTCAGTCCACAGCTGTACTTCTGGGGCCCCATCCTTGCATATCAGCAGCGCACAGTCATCCGCATACTGGACTGGTCGATTTATGGCTCTCCACGATCGATTCTCCTCCGAGAATCTAGCCGTAGATGCTCGTGAATCCCGCCTATCGCTGGCCGATTCTTTCTCAGTCCAACCAAAGACTCCTTACAGCAACCTGTATCAGCGTGCTTCTCACCTCCCCACCTCAACCACCACTTCGGCTTTGAGGAGCCTCATGACCTCGTCCAGCACTTCATCGATAAGCGAAGAAGACGCTCGGGCTCGTCGCGTGTTCGATCATCTGGATTCGCTTTGCAGCACATCTGAGGCGCGACGCTCCCTTCACATCTGGCAGCAAGCTTACGCTCGCCGTCATAACAGCCCCTATCTTCTTCCCGAGGGAGGCACCATGGGCACGGTGGAGACGAAAGGTTTCATGGCCAAGCTCTTTGGGAGTTCTAAGAAGAACGAAAGGCACAGCTTCTCCAAATTGCAGCAGTGCTCTTATATCCATGAAAACAAGAGCAAGAGCTTCCTATCCGGCAGCTTCTCGAGAGCTTCTCGCGGAAAGCGCCTCACCGTGACTTGAAAAGGAAAAAGGACATTCACTATCTCCTTTGTCAAATGGCCGAGTTGTGTAACGAGTGTGGCATACTGGCCCGATGGAGGCCCCTTTTCATTTCCTTACCTATTCTCATTAACTGGTTTCAGCGACGTTTTTTTCTTTTATTCTTTCCCTTTGTCCACCCAAGAACCACCTTGAGGAAATGGAACCGGGATATAATGACACTCAAATGGCACACGCACGCACACGCATGTTTGGAATGGAAAGCACTGGAAACTGGCGGCCCCTGGAAAGGTCTAATTGTTTGAAGTAGCTGTTGCTCTGGATTGGAGAAGCACTTTACTATTCTTTTCTCTCTCTTTTTTCTTTTGTCCTTTCCTTCTCGAGCTTTGTTTGGTTGTTAGCGAGGCAAGAAGGATACCATCATGAGGGTCTGGCTGGTAATACGATAATGATGTAGAACTACTGTACAATAATTCCGGGGTACTTCCTACTGTAAGATAGCTTATGAAGACGTCTTCATATGAATTTGTTCATTGTTGAGGATAACCGTAGTCTACCTGTATGCTAATTACCTATTGCGGTAACGTATTATCGCATCCATCGATTCGATGATGCGTATATACTTGTATATTTCTCATTTTCCCAACGCCAAACGCCTATTCAAACCACTTTTGTAATGTGTGCCCGCCCAACCGGTACAAGAATATGTAAAAGACCAAGTTCGAAGTAAAAGACCTGAAAGCATCAAGACCATGCAAAGAAGGGCCAAAGAGGAGGAAGAAAGAAGTAAGAGAGTAGCTCACTCGGCCCTCTTCCTCGACTTCAAGAAGTCCTTAATCTGCTCATGCTTATTCGCGAAAAACATGCGCGTGTTATCATTCCTCCAGACTAGCACGCCAATCTCCTCCGAAAAGCGCGCCGTGTCGAGGTAGTCCTTGTCGTCGGTAAAGTCCCGGAACAGGAAGCCGCTCGTCGTCTTCATACGCTCGTTCTCGAGCTGCCACAGGCGGATCTGGTCGACGACGGTGGGGGGCAGGACCGGCTTGTTGGTCAGCGCGGCGGTGCGGTGCATCTGCTCGTGGGCGTGGGCGGACAGGTACGAGATGATCTGGTCGGCGGTGATGCCAAAGTTAATGGCCTGGCGGATGGACGCGCGGGACAGGCGGCCGGCGACCATGTCGGGGAAGCGCATGTTGAGCTTGGCGAAGAGGGCGAGCACGGCGATTTGGAGGGCGGACTGGGTGTATGCGTAGAGGCGGTAGTTGGTCTCGATGACGACACTTCCGGCCTGCTCCCCGGTGCCGCCGCCGCCCAAGAGGCCAAGAGACCCTTGCGACGCCTGGGCGGATTGGGTAGCAGCCGCGACGCCCTCGCTAATGGTCCGCAAGCTGTTTCCTCCACTCGTCAGGGTCGTCGCTAGTCGGGTCGGGAAGAACATGGAGCGCTTATGCTGGGGGATGTAAATGAGGCCGAAATCGACGAGAGAAGGAAGCATATTCCTCCGCTCCTCCGTCAGCGCATTCGTGTCGTACGCCCGCCCCAGCTCCAGGCTCGCCAGCATGAAGAGGAACGACAGCATATCGACGGGATCCAGCCCAGAGGACTTGTTGTTGCCCAGGACTTCCAGCCACAGCAAGAGCAGCGTCCAGACCTGCGCGTTTGCCTCCTGCAGCAGAAAGGTGAAGCCGGCCTGGGTGATGCCCAAGCTTCCGTTTGGTCGTCTGTCAACTAGCTGACCTGCAATGAGGAGCTCCTTGACGCCCTTGTTCGGCCCAGAGCCCTCGCCCAGGCTGCTTTTGTAGCCGACACTGGACACGACGAAGTGCAAAACATCCTCCCACTTCTTGCGCGCGTATCGATCGAGGAACGGCAGGTCAATCTCGGGCGGGACCATGAGCGACGAAGGCACGCCAAAGGAGTTGTGGTTTCCGCCTCCGGTGAGCGCCAGCCGCAGCGATTTCTTGAAATTTGACATGAGCTGGATCTCCTGCGGCTTCTCCTTCGACGGGACGGATATCTGGACAATGTGGAGGCTTCGCAGAATGGAGAGGGACTGGTCTTTCTTCCTGTGACAAGGTTAGACGGCGTGCGGCGTGCGACAATGGTGATGAAGAGAAACCGAACCGCTTGGCTTCCGGCTTCACCCATGCGTCCAGATCGGCGAGCGTCATGGGATGGGGAAGAAACAGCATTCTCATGACGAAAGTCTTTGCGAGATGCGGCAGCATGCGCCGGAAGATGGCGAACGTCGTGGAGGGCTGCTGGTACAGTTTCTTGAAGGTTGTGCCAGGCAGCCTCTCCAGGTACTCCGCGAGGGAGAGGGAAGGGTTGATAGACATGCTGGGCGAGTGTGGCGAGGCTGCGGTCCGTTGAGGGAGGCAGAGGTAAGGATGTTGGCTATCGCATGATCTGTCAATGTCGAGGTCAAGGGCTGGAGTCCAAGTCGAGGCGTTGAAGTCGCGTGAAGTTTAATGGCATGGAGACCTTGACGTGCAGGACGTCACCCGTCGGCGCTTTATCGGATAACCGGGGAGGTACTTCTAGCTGTGCTGCCAACTTCGCTCAACTGCCAACACCTTCCACCTTCCCCTTATCACAAGCAACGTGCGTGCTGCGGTATAAAATTACAATCAATTGAGTGGTATCGAGGGGCATCATGGCCAAGAGACTTTCTCCTTTCAATTTCACCAAGGCGGTGATGCGGTCCTTCATGGCCGAGTCCGGCCTCGAGCCCAGGTATGATGAACCGCTGTGAAGGCGCTATTCGGTAGAAGTCGCAACGTCATATAGCCGAGGATGGCCAGTTAACAGCATCACCATTGTCAGACTGCTGCAGAACCGAGTAGGCATTGCGCATTCCAGGTTGGCATATGCCTTGTTTTATACTCACATTCTGCTTTCAAATAGTTTCGCGTAATCAATGCCACCGAAGGCAAGGTCGACTTCGAGGTTGACATCCACAAAGATCACACAGTAAGTTGGCTCCCAGCAGCAAGCGTCGTTGCGTGAAGTGACTGCCTCAGGTTAGTCGAGATAACTGACCTGCCGCCCTCTTACCCAGAATCGGCTCCAAACGTTGCACGGCGGTACGATTGCCAGTCTCGTAGATCTCGGAGGATCACTCGCAGTTGCTTCCACCGGACGATTCGCAACCGGCGTCTCGACTGACCTGAACGGTAAGGCCAGTTCTTATCCGCAAGTACAAAAGAACCACGGCATTGACCCCATTGGCATAGTAACCTACCTCAGCCCAGGCGGAAAGCCAGGGGACGTCCTTAAGGGAACCTCTATCTGCGAAAAGAGTAAGTAACGTTGGCGAGATGAAGCTCTGATTGCTGCAGTGGGTTCTGACTCTCTGAAACAGTCGGAAAGACGCTCGCATTTACAACGGTGCAGTTTTACAACGGCAAGGGCCAGCTCGTTGCAAGAGGCAGCCACACCAAGTAAGTCTGACTGCCGTTCGTTTTGGCAGACCCAGTTACTGACTGTTAATACCAAGATACGTCGCGGGAACTTTGGGCCCCGACGGAGCGTTTGTGCCGCCCCCGGAGTGGGCAGATGAGGTTGACTAGATTCATGTTGGGCATATGGGCGTGTCGAGACTGGTTTAGACGGTGTAGATCAACCTTATACGTCATCTGGCTTCAGAGCGGATAGAAGATCATCACTTTGGAAATACATACAAGGCGGAATCAGAGCTATCAAACGTTCATGTGATCAATTTCTGCCAGCCGGCAGACGAGCTTCATCGAAACCACGAAAGGAGTGTAGTTGATGCAGTTAGAGGCAAACGAAACTGTCCTTCTCCATCTGGCATGTTTCATTGCCCTGATTTGGAGATTCCTGTCATGCTTATTGCGTCCACCATCTCTCCGGCTATATAAGGTACGTATATGTCCGTAACTGGCGAACGGCTTCAAGCGCATGCACAATAAGATAAGCCATGGTAACAGTCCGTTTTTCTCCCTCAATGCCTATGAAGCAAAGGTGGTGTAGGAGATGCTACCATTACTCCATACAAGATAAGCAATATTAGATTCTTTCCGGGCCAAAAAAAAAAAAAAAAAAAAAAAAAAGAACTGCGCCGCATATGTGTGCTCCGGCAAAATCCAACTCACTTCAGTACCCACGCATCGGGTGTCGCAAAGGGACGTCTTTTGTGGTGGGCTCGAGTCCGAGTGGAAGGCGGCAAGATGCCTGCCCTGACACTCAGTGTAGAATCGGTGAATGAAAAGGCAAAAAAAAAGGCAAAATGATGAAAGTATGGATACTTCATTCAAGGCGGGAACCCAGGTCTAGATCTGGACCAGGGTCGTGAATGGTGGATGAGCCGCCTTCAAATAAGGTACAGGTACCTACAAGATGCGAGCAATAGTATACGAGTACTCGTAGGCTACGGCGGCCCAGGAGACTCTCAAAACGCATGCATGTGCAGGGCATGGGAGCAATGGATGGCAGCCTAACGAAACAGGCAACCATTTAACGACTGCAGATCCCGACTTTAAGCTGTGATTATTTAGTCCCGTGGTTGACAAGAGGCCGCGAGCCAAGAGGAGGCTCTGTGTGTCCCCGGGCTGCCCTGTCCCGAGGTGGATGACAAGGCGGGTGGTGTAACGCTGTCCATTTTCCCAAACAAGATGCTTGAGGTAGTATAGTCTAGAGAAATGAGAATCCGAAGCAAAATGAGAGGAGCATCCAGCAGGATTGCGGCGCTACAGAAACCCAGGGCTTGACTCGGCTTATTGTATGCCGGATGCTTGCTCCGTCTCCCTCTCCAATCATCGGCTGATATTTTCCGAGAAATTGGAGAGGGAGGGAAGAGAAAAAAAACAGCGCCAATAGGAATCCAGCAGCTCTCCGTTGTGGCAGCTACCTACTTCACCGTAAGATGGTTGGTGGTGGGTGGTTTGGTGGCATTGGGTGCGTTGAAAGAGCGCATATCCGTACGGAGGAAAGCAGCCAGGGTTACCCGTACGGGCTCTGCTTTTCCGCCACAACATACATGTAGTCTCCAACGCATATGTGCGTAAGGTATGTATGTCCAAATCCAACGCAACTGTGCGTACCTCCATGTGTCAAACTCATCGACCAAGGAAGAGTAGCAAGCAAACGTGAAAACCGGAAACACCAAGGAAAGCCCAACAATAGTGCATCGTTTCTGTCAAAGGGATCAATCCAGAGTCTTTGTGGCTGCTCCCGCCTCTATATCCTTTCCAATCCCTCTCGACAAGTCATCATACATAGCTTACATGGGCTTAGTCTCCGCCCCTCTTGGGGAAACGCCAGCGCAGCATTGAACTCAACCACGAATCACTGGTCAGTTCCAGTGCTAGACGGGAGACTATAGATCAATGTTCTGCGCAATGTATCACTTGACGGGTGACTTGTTCGCGTCTACTGTAGAGTACTGCCAGCGAAGCAAGAGCCGCAACCCGCACAGCCCCATTCATTCGTCCGAAGGGAGTGCATGTGGCGCAGCTTTTGGGTTTGAACGTCATCGTCAAGAGTGCAGTATGTTGCTAGCTTACCGTACCTTATACAGCGCTCTTACTCCTTGCGTACTTGTATTGCACTGCACAATCTGGGAATGCAGTCCCGCAAAATACGCGCAAGGAGTTACGCGGAGGCTGTGCCGGGCTCTGCTATGGGGTTGCATCGAGCGTGAGGCTCAAAAATTCAATGGGAAGAGATGGTTCTCGTCACATACGGCGAGGAGCGGGAGATCGATACTCAAGTACGAAGCAGTGCAATGTATTGTATTGGAAGTCAATCAGAAGCATGAATTACGAAAAAAGATCCATCTATACCCTAACGATTAGGTAGAGGTACAGCATTCACTCACATGGCTAGATAAGAACGTTCGTATAACTCGTAATGAGAGATAGAAGGCTATGGGACGAAATAACAAACGCAGATAGATCAGTAGGATAGTCGGGCTGGGTTGCCCGCATTGACGATTCAACGGTCGCCCGGAATCTCTCAACAAGAGCCGGCTCATCGTGTGGGGCCCGAACAGGTACTACGTATCTATTTTTTTGGGCTTTCTGTGTGATAAGGTATTAAAACCTGCCTCACCGGCAACTCAGAGATTGATTCCCGTCTACTTTTTCACTCGTCCATCCGGCGACCTAGCGATCAAGCGCTCGGCCAATGCAGTTGAGGTCCCAGAAGACCAGACGTCAGTGACATCGGGGGCGTCTCCTTTCCGGGTAGTGTTACTTGTACCACCAATCCAGATTCATCGTTCAGGCCACTGACTCGTGAGAAGAACCTGCAAACAATCATTGCACTTGAGACGCAACGAAAAAAGAACAAAGAAATCCCCGCAGATACCCGCAGCCACCAGCGCGGCCCGGGCCTGGTTGGGTCGGGTCCAGTGCCATTGACCACGGAAGTGTTCGATAGCAGGAGATTGGATCGGAGCCTGAACCCAATCGCTGTACCTTCAGTGGTGCCCGCCAGACTCCAGTGAGATTACAGCAGCCAGGGCATCAATTCCCGTCCACTGTGCTATAAGTGCCACCCACTCAGGGCCGGGGACAGCGTGCAGATGCTGCCGCTCTTCTCCACCCGGAGCAACTTCCACGATGCTGGAATCATGAGCAATCGATCATTGTCCGGCCAAACAGACGAAGACCCACGCATCAACATCCGCATCAGCTCGAGTCCTCCCATTAACATCCCCTTCCACACGCGGCAACGGCCTCGACAATACCAGACATTTGTGTACGAACCGCCGCAACATCAAGATGGCCCCCTCAATGTCCCGTTCCTCCTCGAACCGTTCGAGACGGAGCCCCAGACGGAGTACCAGGCGAATCGATCGATGATGCAGCTAGAGTCCTCGCCCTCGATCGTCACATCCATGCCGACAGCCTCTTTGTTTGCACAGACGGCTCCCATGCATGACCTTGGCGACGTTGTGCAGTTCAACCAGGAGAGGGCAAATGCGTCCCAGAGGAGGAACGAGGCATCGCCAATTCATGTACTCAACCCCTCGTTTGGCTGGAATGGCAACGTCTTGACAAGCCAGGGACTGCCGCTTGCTAGGCACCGTGATTTCAATATCTCGAGCATGGATATTTATCCGGAGACCTTTTCTGTCGATACGCGGCTGACAAACGATCAATGGAGCGATGACCTTGGGGAGCCATGGCAGGCAAACGGTTATCAGGGCAGCACGCATGATTTTCTGGATCCAGATCAGGATTTCTCAAATCCTCAGTCCGGCTATTCTGGGCATATCGTCGACCTGGCTCCAGGACCACGAGAGCATGGACGAATCGGTAGCGCCGACAACCAACGGGCTCAGGTCGTCGAAGCCGGGGTGGAACAGATGGTGAAAAACCTAGACTCGCTTTACAGGCGCATATCCATGGGGCTGGACGTCACCGGGGCCCATGACGCACAGCGCTCCTTTATGTGCCCCTATGCCATGAGATACCCAGACCGCGTAAGCCACAACTGCTTTCAGAAGCTCAATTCGATCCCGTATGTGAAGCAGCATCTGAGGCACAACCACCACGACGCCATCAGCTGTCCTCATCGGTGCCAGAATCGACGGCCAGGGGCCAGGCCTTCGCGAAGCCGACCCAGCGCCGGTCTCTCCTTTGGCGCCGACATGTGCCTCCAGATCAACAAGCAGCGGAGTGACCGATCCAGAACGCACAAGCAGCAGTGGGAGCGCATTTATCAGATTCTGTTCCCCGGTGCGGACCGCGTCTCCGACCCTTACATCGCGGACTCGACGGTCAAGCGGCTCAGACATTTCTTCAAGTTCATGGAGAACCACGGCATCGAATGCTTGGCTGCCGTCTATGCGCAACTGCCAGACACGGTATCGTACCCAGAGCCAGAAATCATGTACCGGAGAGCTTTCTGCACATGGTTGCCGCGCATCTTCGAGAGCCGATTTCCTCCACAAGGGCACCTCCTGCTGGGGGATTTTCTCAGTCAGATAGACACCTTTCTGCGTGACGACTCTTTTCTTATGGATAGTTCCTCTGGAGCTGCAAGTCTAAGGAGTGCGGCGTCTCTTCCAGACGTACGACAGATGGGCCAACCCGATCCCTCTTTTACGGCAATGTCACAGATGGGCTCCCTATCAAGTCAACAGCAATCCTACTCCGCTATTCCTTCGCCATATCTGACGCACCAACAAAGCTCTTTCGAGCCAATGGAGGGTGCCTCGTTCTTGGAATCTTCATTTGCCCCTACGCCTTCGGAGATGTCCTACTTTGAAACGCCCATCCCGCTTCAGACAGACATTGACTCTGCAACGCCTCTATTCGACGAAGCCAATCTTGCTAATTTATTCGATGGACACAACTTTTCGTTCGACCAATATGGTCCAATGCAGGGCAGCCCTTCTCAGTTCTTTGAAGATGCCGATGGCATCCTGTCAGGAGACTTCTGAGCTTTTGACAGGATACGGAGTTATGGTATTATTGGGCAGGCGGTATCACATTCATTTAGTTGGGTGGGATAACGGATATGGGTTTTTTGGGGGTTTTATTTGATGATACCAATGTTGTTGGATTACATTGCGTTGTCTTGTCATATGAAGGGCGGCTTGGGTCGGCAGTTATTGCATTGCGGGCGTTGTTTCTCGTCAGGCACGAGCTACATCAGGACGGAGGATTGGGGATTGACACACTCTTTTGATCACTCTTTTGAAGTTTTGCGAAGATTTTTGCATGGACATCTGATACAAGTTAGCCGGAAGGGCGCATTCGGGAAAATCAAGGCAGCATATGGGCTCGGATATCAGGGTTGGAGGCTGCATTGCGTATCGTGCCAATGGAACGGCGAATTTGAGTTATTTCACAATATATCTCTCTCACAGACTTCACTCAAAGGGTATAGCTGCTATAGAACTCGTCCGAATCAACAGAAGAGGCATTACGGTACATCTTATACCAAACAGTTTTCTTCACAGGTATAACCATCATGTTACCTACCTCACTGATAGTATACAGGGTATATACCGATAGGTGCGTTCTCTTGTCCTTTTATCTTCCTTGTCTCCACCGATTTTATATATTTACGGCAATCTAGAACTCTATTGCTTTAAATATACAAACACGCGCTATATTTCTTGTTTGTGCATTGATCCCAAGGCACCTGGCGATATCTTCCTCACATTGGCAGAAAGGAGCAAGTCAGAAGAAACGATATAGCATGTGTATCACGAGCGTCTTCACCCAACATATCCACAATATACAACAAGCCACGCAGTCAAGAACCATACTATATATAGAAAAGAGCTCAGAGAAACACTCTGCACGGGTAAGTGTAACGCAATGGGAAGAAAGAACAGGAGACCAGACAAGTGATGCTTGTCTGGTCCATTCCGGCACCATGGACGATGCTGAGTCTCTAACGAGGAGGATGTTCCTACCCGGCATCACCTACAGAACAAGACATCTACGTTGACTTTGAAGATAAGATAGGGGAGAGCATTATTCGGAATGTTCTGATGCAGATGTGCTTGCGCTTTGAGCTGAGCCATCGCCCAGTCATGCATATTCCTACTGCCGACAGATATACAGGGCTATCTTCTCTGGAAACTCGCAAGGCCTTTTCCACCGAGTCACAAGCCGTCAAAGTGACTGAGCCGGGACGCGCAACTGGCAATCCTCGGAGGCAGTTTTTGAGCGCCAGCTCCAGAAATGCGGCCTCCTTCTCCCTTCGTCATCCTCATGGACAGGCCCAGGAGGTAGGATAAAGCCAATGTCTGACGGCTTGTTGTTCTCTCAGTTTACATTCAAAGATGTGTACGTGTTTTTTGACGCCCGTAGAGAGCGCTCTGCACTGCATGCATCGAGTATGGCGCATCCCCTCTGCCGTACTTGATGCCGCTTTCTACAGACGAAGCTACGGCATACCTAGAAGGAGGCCGCTGTTTGGACTCTTATGGGGGTATTGATGGATGGAGGTGCACATATAGGCATTGTTACCTCCTATCCTTGGGGCAGAGACGCAGCGTGTGAAACTTGTATCTGTCATGACAGATGCTGTTGGCCCTGGGGTCGATGCTTTGTTGACTCGATAGCCGAGCCGGTGCAGCTGGAGATAACGGCCCTTTATCGTAAAAAATGACTACTTGTTGGTATCTCCTTGATGCAACTTGTTCCTATTTCCGGCTGTCTGAGACCCCTCCTGATTGCTAATTCATACGTGGTTTACTGCGTCCTTCGAGCGGGACGGTTACCAGGTGGTCCTTCAGGGGCTATTAACGAAAGTCGTTACGTGTGCTTCGTGCCTATACACTCCATCCAGTCTCGGGAATCTAACGGCATTTGACCATTCGGGCTTGATACGGGCATAGCGTGCATTGTGAGGTCTACGTAGCCAAGAGAAGACCACCGAGATACGGGTTTCTCCATTGATCAGAATCAATCAGAACAATTTCTCTCGAGTGAGGCACATAACTGCTTTGACAGGTCTGCAGTCTCGGAAGCATAACATGCTCCTGCACCGTCCCTCTTTGCCATAACGCCTTAACATAACACCTTGACGTAATACCTTGATAGAAAGCCATTGTAATGATGGTACGTAAAGGAACCGAGTCGGCTTCGTATGAAATTCCGTGAGTATAACATGATCGGTTCATATGTAAAGAGTTCCTCCGAAAGATCGGAATTCCGCACCGGCTGATATCCAAGCAAGAAGATCAGCGACGAGTCGAATTGTTGGAGATGTGCTGATCAATGAAGTTGAACCGTTTCCCGTTAGATGACCAAGCTACCGTCCAATAAAGGGTAGCATCATGAGCGGCCCAGCACACGTACACCGAGATGAGAAGAAGATCGAAACGGGGACGGGGGAATTAGAGAAGGTTAAAGTTGGCCAGGGGATCAGGAGATTCGAGGTAATATGTCTACTCGTATTTGGAATATTCTCGGAGCCAAGAAGTCTCTTGACGTTATTTCAAATACTTACCTAGGCTATGCGGTGTGGGGTGAGTACTGGAAGGGGATTGACATGATTAACTTGGGCGTGAATTTCGCTCCCTTCTTCGTACATGTACAATATGAGACTGCTTGCGTGAACAAATGTCTCCGTAGTTGCGGAATAATGGTGATCCACTGACATGCGGAGTTTCGGGAGTTTCGTGATTTGATGCAGGTTGTCTGGAGCACGAAAGTAGTGATTACTCTACCAATCTGTATTGCCACACAGAGAGAGATGATGAACAAGGGATCATAGAGTAGCGCCGGCACTTCACTTGGCTTTGGAGGCTTGTTCAAACCCCCTATTTCTCCGTACTGTTGTGAAGATGTTGCTTACGCTGGCTGCTTGTATGCTCTCGATATTCAACGGAGTGATGACGTTAGTGATGGTTGCTCATCCAAAAGTCACTTACATCATGGTTGTCGGTGATGCTATCAAATCTAGCTGGTGATGCCCTTTCGCTGCTGGGCATTCGACAGCACTGATACTTGGCTGGCCCTCGCCCCTTGTCCCCCTCGTTACGAGCAGAACAGATAGTAGTAGTTTGCCATCGTATTCAGGGATATAGTCTTCTCGAAGCCAGGGGGTGTACAAGCAGAATGGAGAACTTGTGGGGTGTCGGTCTGATAAGGTCAATGCTTGTGATTGATTATGTGGCGGGCGCGCAACTTTTGATTTTTTCACATTATGAGAAGCAGACAGGCATCGCCGGAATTAAGCATGGAATTAAGCGTTCAGCAGCGTTTTTACGAAGTACGAGCTCGGACGCTTTACTCCATCAAGGACCTGTTAAAGTTGCCCGATGCTGGAGATCCGCGAATAGCAGCTGGATTCCCCTTTGCTCAGAAAGGCGGCAGTTAGTAAGAGATAGTCATGGGCCTTGTCTTTTCTTTCCACGGCGTAATACGAGTATACGGTGCAGGTCGATAGATCACACCAGGCCAATAAGGTGAGAGAGGGGTTCCTGTTTATTATCCCTGTGCCACGCAGCCGTGCAAAGTGATGCTGCTCCAATTGCCGAAAAGCCGCATGCATGTGTGAGATAAGCATGAATGAGAGCGCGTCCATCTCCGTGGAGGAAGATTCCATGTTCCCTGATTCGATCCGGAAAGAGAAAGGAGCTGCACGTTGAGTTTGCTGTTCGATGTCTTTCCTTGTTACGTATTCGTACTCCTTCGGACGAGTTCCCCTAGCCTGAAGCGGGCAAAGTCTGTCACGGCCGGATACGCCCTCCTGCATGGCCAATGGTGCTCCTTGAGCGTGGGAGTCATCCGGCGAGCATGGTCTATAACCACAACTGATGGCGGGTGGAGAGAAGTCCGACGACTAGCGCGAATGAGAGCCCGATGATTGCTCCACGCGTTTGTCAATGAGACATGAAGAGGAACATCCACGGCGTTTCCGAATCGTGATAGTAGTCTGTTCCGATTGATATTCCAGCACGCCGTTGAGCAAGTTCATCAATGCGAAGATGGCGGGGGATGACCTGATCTCTCCTGCCTCTGTGAATGGCATCGCAAAGCTACTCGCCACCCAGAAGTTCGATTTTTTTCTGTTCCACGATCGATCTGCCTCGGCCTACAGGAGGAATCAAGAGCCGGCGGGCAAAAAAGGACCCATCAGCTGAACTAGCTCGGAGGAGGCCGAATTTGTAAGCGACGGCAAGTCGATACAATTTCACGACGAGCTGATGTGAGAAGCAATTCGTAGTCCGTACGGTACCAGTGATTCGCGTGCTCACACCCGCTCGAGCTGTGAGACATTGATCAATGCCAGGTGGAATTCGGTAGCGACACAGACAAAGCGGCTGAACAACTGTCTTAGCCTCCTCATAGCAGTTTGCTTTTTGTAACCACTCTCCGGCGGACACAAACGGGCCGCAACAGTGAACGGCGTGGCCAGCAGGGGTGGCGGCGGGCCGCCGGCCGCCGGTGCTAAAAGGAAGAAAGAGCAGGAGAAAACAGCGAGCGTCGAGCGCCGCGTTCTCCAAGCCGTGAGGCGGTACATTGTGTTCCTGGCACGGAGCAGTGGTACACTAGTAATTGCAACACAGGCTAAAAGTCCAAGTCTCCTCAACATTGTTCCGGTCTCGAGATTCATTCACGTTCTGTGAGATATCGGCCAAGTTGCGTTGCAGTCGGTGTCCTTGCCGAGGTGACAAGTGACCTGAGCGGGACGGCGAGAAGTACTCGTAGGAGAGGCGGTGATTGAGGCTGCGGTCCACGTACTGTACACGTACTTGTACTCCGTACTTTGCAACCGAGCAAAAGGGAGAGCTGTGGATCGTCGTAGCATTCGAATGGGTGCCCGAACCCCTACATGATATTGGGGCTGGCGGTGATGTTTTCGAAGTTGCTTCGACCGCTGCTTGGTCATGGCACACAAACATTGATGAAGTTTCGTCTTTCGAATGATGTCCAGAAGAATAGAAATCAAAAGTCTGGGGAGTAGGCTGTTTATCGGTCAGTTTGCTATGGGGACAGAGTGATAGTAGCGGCTCACAAACTTTCTCTAGCTGAGCACGACCCTTGATTCTGGGACTCGTAAGACTCGAGCTCGGAATTGCTGAATCGCCCTTACACTAACTGCCCCACGGCTCTGACAAGTCGCAGCGCCACTGGTTGCACGCCGTTCCTCTGTCAAGCCTGGGTGAATTGCCTTTTCTGGCGCCATCAAGTGCAAACGATATGATAGCCTCCTTTACACACAGCGTATCACCGCATGATACCGCATGCCATTGCCGGACACGCGCGAAAGAGGGTCGTTAGCTGGATGGACAGCGAGCTGCAGTTGGGCATTCCGCAGCTGTTGGTGATCTGATTTGAAGCCGAGAACCAAAGTCACCTTGATGAGCAACTGGCGGCTCTAACTCCGTATTTCCGCTTTCGGAAATGAAGGATTAATAAGAAATCGTGTGCCAATGTGCCATTCCGAAGGCCAAGGCATGGAACAGGGAGCTGCTCATCTTCTCTGCTTCGACCGTGAAGACCATCAGAGTCCGGCAGCTTTGCCGTGTGGAACCCGTACCCGTCGTCACGGTCATGGTCTTATTTCTGCGTTATGTTTGCCTCTCTTCTGCGTTATGATACTCTTCGGCGTGATTGTCTCCGCGTAATGCCTCGCTTGTCGAGCGGCGTTATCAATCATGTCATCCTCGTCGTCGTCGTTGATCGTACTTTGTACCTTGCGCCTGTAGATTCGTCAGAGGGCAGCATCAGCACAGAGTAATACGCTGAAGGTATCGAGTACTTTGCTTCACGATAGGCAACAAAAAGCAGCCCTCCTTTGAAGCGCCCCCACTACCACCGGTAACCCCCCAAACTGTGCATCCAGAGTGGGTTCTCGTCGCCGCTTGGCCGGGTTTTACCATGCACAAGCTCCGGGCTTGTCCCCTTCTCTCGGACTTTTGACGGTCAAGCATCAAAGCTGAGCTGGCAAACTCAAGCTGCGGCACCCAGCCGCCCTGCAGGTGGACCGTGGGCTTCGTTGGCCGGTAATAAAGAGCTTCGTGGTGGTGGTGCCTAGTCATAAGGCGAGCTGCGATGCCGTTATCTGGCCCCGGCAATCTTGGCGACCAAAAGACCCCTGGCACTCCGCAGGCCCGATTTTTTTTCCTTCTTTTTTCTTCTGCCTTTAGCCGTCAGAGAAGAATACATAACTCCAGGCCTCCTGGGTTCTGCTCACCTGGTGGTTTCTGGCCATCGCTTGATAGCCAGTCTCTGGTTGTCATCAGAAGAAGTTTTTGTGTGGAGTGTTGTTTCATCTTCCTTCCATTCCTACTACCTAATTGTTATTGTGGTTTCGTCTGGTAGAATCACACCGCTCGAGTTCACCGCTTACTCTTTCTGCCCTCATCCATTCCTCCAGCAAGGCGAACGGATCGGGAGATTTAATTGCATTGGCTCGCCGTTATAACTTCAATTAATAATTTTTCTATCTTCTTATTGGATCTTGTCTCCCTCTTGATCATTCATTCATCAGCTTTTGGCGACGCGAGTACCTCAGAGGTGCTACATTAGACCGCCCTCTCCTCGACGACTATAATCATCTACTACCCCCAAACATCATCAACGACATCGTACGGCCCTCTCAGAGCCAGCCACAATGTCAGGGGAGCAGCCTCCCAACGGGGAGTCGCTGCACAGTACGGCAAACTCGGAGCTGGCAAAGGATCTCAACGAGCAGCTGGACTCGACCTCCGTGGAAACTCATGTCGAAGGCCAGCGCTCTTCGAATGAACTCGCCAGGGTCCAAACGGGCGTCTCTGTTGAGGCAGCCGAAGCTCACTTTGCTGGCCTGCAGCGCGAGTTCACCGGCGTCTCCCGAGCGAGTCGCAGGAACAAGTCCTCTTCCGACCCGGAAAAGGGAGCCACTGTCACGGCGGAGGATGACGCCTCCGTCTTCGACTTGGAAGCCGCTCTGAGAGGCGACCTGGATGCCAGCACCGAAGCTGGCATTCGATCGAAGCACATTGGAACCTGCTGGGATGGCCTGACCGTCAAGGGCATCGGTGGCTTCACCAACTTCGTCAAGACCTTCCCCGATGCCTTCATCGACACCTTCAACGTCCTCACCCCGCTGCTGAGCATGATTGGCATGGGCCCCAAGTTCACAGAGGCCACTCTTCTCAACAATTTCCAGGGCGTGTGCAAGCCTGGAGAGATGGTTCTGGTTTTGGGAACTCCCGGATCCGGATGTACCACCTTTCTCAAGGCCATTGCCAACCAGCGATATGGATACACCAGCGTCACCGGTGATGTCTTTTACGGACCATGGACGGCACAGGAGTTCAAGCGATACCGCGGTGAGGCTGTCTACAACGCCGAAGACGATATGCACCATCCTACATTGACCGTGGAGCAAACGCTGGGATTCGCTTTGGACGTTAAGATGCCTGCCAAGCGACCCGGCAACATGTCCAAGGCCGAGTTCAAGGAGCACGTCATCACTCTCCTTCTCAAGATGTTCAACATCGAGCATACCCGAAAGACAATTGTCGGTGATGCCTTCGTTCGAGGTGTCTCTGGTGGTGAGCGAAAGCGTGTCTCCATCGCTGAGATGATGATCACCAATGCCTGCATTCTCTGCTGGGACAACAGCACGCGTGGTCTCGATGCCAGTACCGCCCTTGACTTTGCAAAGAGCCTGAGGATCCAGACGGATCTCTACAAGACTTGCACCTTCGTCTCCCTGTACCAAGCCTCTGAGAACATTTACAAGCTCTTTGACAAGGTCATGGTCATTGATGAGGGACGACAGGTCTACTTCGGTCCCGCAAAGGAAGCCCGTGCCTACTTTGAGGGCCTCGGCTTCCTGCCGCAGCCGAGACAGACAACGCCCGACTATGTCACCGGATGTACCGACGAGTTTGAGCGCGAGTACCAGCCCGGAAGGTCGGCGGAAAACGCTCCCCACAGTCCCGACACCCTTTTGGAGGCTTTCAAGGCGTCTAAATATCAGAAGATGATTGAGGATGAGATCGCCGAGTACAAGGCGAACCTCGAGAAGGAGAAGCAAAAGCACGAAGACTTCCTGCTTGCCTTTAAGGAGAGCAAGCGCGGCACGTCGAAGCGAAGCCCCTATCAGGTCGGTTTCCACATCCAGGTGTGGTCCATCATGAAGCGACAGTTCATCCTCAAGCTGCAGGATCGCTTCAACCTCGTCGTCGGCTGGAGTCGCAGTATTCTGGTCGCTATTGTTCTCGGCACACTGTATCTGAATCTCGGTCAAACTTCCGCCAGTGCTTTCAGCAAAGGTGGTCTGTTGTTCATAGCACTCTTGTTCAACGCTTTCCAGGCCTTTTCGGAGCTGGGAGGCACCATGACGGGACGTCCACTGGTTGCTCGGCACAAGGCATACGCATTCCATCGGCCGTCGGCTCTCTGGATTGCCCAGATCTTCGTGGACCAGGCGTTTGCGGCGAGTCAGATTCTCATCTTCTCCATCATCGTATACTTCATGACGGGCCTGGTCCGAGACGCCGGTGCATTCTTCACCTTCTATCTGATGATTCTCTCTGGTAACATTGCAATGACGCTCTTCTTCCGAATCCTTGGTTGTGTCAGCCCGGACTTTGACTCTGCCATCAAGTTCGCAGTCGTCATCATCACGCTCTTCATCACCACTTCCGGATATCTCATTCAGTACCAGTCCGAAAAGGTGTGGCTTCGTTGGATCTATTGGATCAATGTCCTGGGTCTCGCGTTCAGCTCCCTGATGGAAAACGAGTTTGAACGGATCGATCTCACTTGCACTTCGGAATCGCTGATTCCATCTGGCCCCGGATACACCGACATCAACCACCAAGTCTGCGTTTTGCCCGGTTCCACCGCTGGTACGACGTTTGTCCGCGGCCGCGACTACATTGCCCAGGGCTTCGACTACCTTCCCGGTGACTTGTGGCGCAACTGGGGCATTGTCATGGCCCTAATTGTCTTCTTCCTCATCTTGAACGTCGTTCTCGGTGAGATTGTGACCTTTGGCATGGGAGGCAACAGCTTCAAGGTGTACGCAAAGCCTACCAAGGAGCTGGACGAGCTGAACAAGAGGCTGCTCGAGAAGCGCGACGCGAAGCGTCAGGACAAATCTAACGAGTCAGGTTCCGATCTGATCATCAACTCAACCAGTGTATTGACTTGGGAGAACCTCAACTACGACGTCCCCGTTCCCGGAGGTACACGCCGACTCCTCAACAACATCTTTGGATACGTGAAGCCGGGCGAGCTGACGGCCTTGATGGGAGCGTCTGGCGCTGGAAAAACGACTCTTCTGGATGTCTTGGCGGCTAGAAAGAACATTGGTGTCATCTACGGAGACGTCTTGGTTGACGGCGTCAAGCCCGGAAAGCAGTTCCAGCGATCCACCTCTTATGCCGAGCAGCTCGATGTCCATGAGCCTACGCAGACCGTCCGTGAAGCTCTTCGATTCTCCGCCGAACTGCGCCAACCCTACGAGACGCCCATGTCCGAACGATACGCATATGTGGAAGAGATTATCTCTCTGCTCGAGATGGAGAACATTGCCGACTGCATCATTGGATCTCCCGAGGCCGGTCTTACCGTGGAACAGCGCAAGCGTGTGACCATTGGCGTTGAGCTGGCCGCCAAGCCCGAACTGCTCCTGTTCTTGGACGAGCCTACTTCCGGCCTGGACAGCCAGAGCGCCTTCAACATTGTTCGTTTCCTGAAGAAGTTGGCTGCGGCCGGCCAGGCCATCCTCTGCACGATCCACCAGCCCAATGCCGCCCTCTTCCAGAACTTTGACCGTCTGCTGCTTCTTCAGCGAGGAGGACGCACCGTGTACTTTGGCGATATCGGCAAAGACGCTGCTGTCCTGCGTGCCTACCTGGCTCGCTATGGTGCTGAAGCTGCTCCGACCGACAACGTTGCCGAATACATGCTCGATGCCATTGGTGCCGGTAGCATGCCCCGGATTGGCGACCGTGACTGGGCCGACATCTGGGAAGACAGCCCCGAGTTTGCCCATGTCAAGGACACCATCATTGAGCTGAAGCGGGAGCGAGTGGCGGCCAACCAGGCGAGCGGCTCCGGACTCGAGAGAGAGTACGCCTCTCCTCTTTCGCATCAGATGAAGGTTGTCGTTCGACGCATGTTCCGGTCTTTCTGGCGTTCGCCCAACTACCTGTTTACCCGCCTGTACGCTCACGTCGCTGTCGCCATCATCACCGGTCTCACGTATCTCAACCTGGACAACTCCAAGGCCTCCCTCCAGTACAAGGTCTTTGTCATGTTCCAGATCACCGTGTTGCCCGCCATCATCATGTCGCAGGTCGAAATCATGTACGCCATCAAGCGTGCTCTCTTCTTCCGCGAATCCTCGTCCAAGATGTACTCGACCTCTTCCTTTGTCACGGCCATCATCCTCGCCGAGATGCCCTACTCCGTCCTCTGTGCGGTGGCCTTCTACCTACCCTTGTACTTTATGCCCGGTTTCCAGACGACCCCCTCCAGAGCCGGATTCCAGTTCTTCATGGTGCTCATCACGGAACTCTTCTCCGTCACTCTGGGCCAGGGTCTGTCGGCGCTTACTCCCTCGCCTCGCGTCTCGACCCAGTTTGATCCCTTCATCACGATCGTCTTCGCTCTCTTCTGCGGTGTCACCATTCCGTACTCGCAGATGCCCGAGGGCTGGCGAAGCTGGCTGTACCAGCTCGACCCCTTCACTCGTCTCATCGGTGCCTGCGTGACGACTGCTCTTCATGGGCTCAAGGTCGTCTGCAAGAGCAGCGAGCTGAACCGATTCACCGCCCCCAACGGCACGACCTGCGGCGAGTACATGCAGCCCTTCTTCGAGAATGGCGGACCCGGCTACCTCGTGTCCAACTCGACGCAGAACTGCGAATACTGCTCGTACAGCGTTGGCGATGAGTTTTACGTTCCGTTGAGCCTGAGCTTTGACCACCGATGGAGGGATCTGGGTATCTTCCTCTGCTTTGTCGTCAGCAACATTACCATTCTATACCTAGGAGTACGTTTTCCCCGTTTCCCCGACATCTTGCGTTTGGTCCAGTATACTAATTCTTTCCCCTTTAGAGCCGATTCGTCAACTACAACAAGAGGTAGAGAGCGAAGGAGAAAAGGCTGGTGCTTGTATATATGCGCCGGCCATGATTTTGATGCGCATATAGAACGGATCTTGCCGTCGAACGAGCGAGATTTCGAAAAAGTTAATCAGGAGTACATGAGTTATGCTTTGTGGGCGATTAGAATGCGGAAAGAGATCAAGTTAATTAGATGTAGATAGTTTAATAATGAGCGAAAAGCATGAATGATTCTACATAGTATGACGAGACTTGGTTCCTCTCCTGGCTATTTGCTCCCCGATGTCTTTGCTTGGAATCTTATGACTTAGGTACTACAAGCCGGACTCCTTGTGAAAGCCCGTTTTACATCATGACCCAGCGTCCCGGCCACCTCCGAACACCAACAGCTCCGACCGGAGACTTCTTCGCCCTCCGGATCCGGCCCCGGTTGACCGGTGTTCTCCGGAGCCCCGGAGTTTCTGCTCAAACAAACCCTCGCTCCTATTTTCCGTGTGCCTCGTACTGATGCCCAACGCTTGCTGGAATACGAAACATGCTAGGGGTGACAAGCAGTAACGAAGCAGTATCACGAAATACAAGTGGATAAAAAAAACCCAACAAGCGAGCAAAGAATCGTACCGACAAGCGGGTGGGAGCTGTTGGTCGGACACAACTTTCGCTTTTGCTTCCCACATTTGATCTATTCTATACCTTTGGGGGTCAGGGCGTCAGAGCCCAAGAAACGGGTAGTCGCAGGACATAGGTCATGGAGAGATATGCCCTGTCTAGTTTACCTTCCTTCCCCTCTCGATTTGTTGCCTTTCTCGATGACTGGATGAGGGGGGAAAGGGGAGGAAGGGTTTGTCTGGCTGGGGGTGCAAACGGGTAGCGGCATCGAGATAGTACAGCCCATCTGGCTGCTACACGCGCGTAGAAACCAACAAGAACTAGGGAAAAGATGGAGAGATAGTGTGACTGAGTGGTTTCAGTATATCGTATGCAGCATGCCGGGGCCGCTTTGCCTCGTTTTGGCGCATGGAGGAGAGGGAGGAAGAGCAATCTTGCATTTGCTGTGAAAATACAGCGGTTGCTAGTCTGTAGCCATCTGCAGGTTACATCTTCCTTTCCACTCCTTTGTCTCTCGTCTTAGGAGTTTCTCGTGAGATATGGGAGTGGTTCTTCCCCATTTCGCTGCTTTTGTGCTGACACTGCGGGTAACATGTATGTTCGTATGGAGTATGTAGGATTGTGAACAGGGCTGAATGGATGACCTGCATGAGTTGTGTGATATATAACATGCTCAGCCCAGTTGAACGCATGTAAGAACTGTCAGACTCCTTCACGCAATCGGTCATCATCAGGGTTCGCTTTTTGCGCCTTGATGACTCTTATTGATTCCAGTCTCGGCTGCATGTTGGCCCTGCATTCTTTTCTCGTCAACGGGCTTGCGGATTCTGTTCTGCTTGCCCCCGCATCGTTTTCTAGGGCGACACTGGCACAAGACGCGAGACACAGAACACGCAGGAAGTTACACATACACAGCTCACACGGGATGGACCAACTGCTACTGTTACTACTACAACTTCGTCCGGCTGCAGCCCTTTTTTTTTTTTTGTTTCACCCATTCTTTGGCTCTTTTCATGCCGCACTTGAACAAAGAGGAGAAGTGAACAGGCAGAAGAAGAAGGAGAAGAAGGAGAAAAAGAAGAAGAAGCGAGAAGACGTCACAGAAGCAGGCTTTTTTTTCCCACGGGTGGTCCCATGCAAGCCATCAAAAACCCATTGAAACATATGTACACCCCTCTTTTCAGGCCGCAAGCAGGGAATTCTCCTTCTTTTTTCCCCTCTTTGACACTGCAACGGTTCGTCAGGTGAGTTTGAGAGGTGGAGGATGATTGCTGCAAGTCATCGATTCAGGTCTGGCCCCATAATACGCAGAAAGAGGAAAAAAATTAAGCGCTGGGATGGAATTCTATTTCTTCTCTTGCCGAGGAACCCGCATACAGTAGTTTTTTTGAAGAATTTCACTCCCCCATTGACACGGGCTATTTCGAGGGTGTGTGTGTGTGTGTGTGTGTGGCTCTGGGTAATCGCGGCTTTTCGGTGCGCTCCGAACATAAGGCGTAAAGCATCATCCCATTTCCATATACGGAACACCGTTCGTACAAGATGCCCAACCTGAACTAACGAGCCTTTTGCATATCGTCTGCCTCGATTGTGTTTTTTTAGGGAGCAAGATGACCTATCAGCACCTGACATCATCTGGTTACAGAGAATCATTGCTTCAGGCGCCAAATAGGCCTTTGGCCAAAAGTGAGGGGTGTGTTTTGTGTTGCTCCTCAATGAACCACCCCCAACTAAACGAAGAGGAACCAAGTCACCGAATCAATGAGATCTTTCTCATCATCTCAGTCCAGAATCCTTCCGTGAGCCAAGACAGGGCTGAGAGCAGTGCTACGGTGCTCAGCCAACGCAGCCCAAGAAAACGTGTGCCTGATACAAGTATAGCCACTACTAGTAAGTGGTATGGAAGATACCATGTTCGTCGGTGATGCGATGCGATGCGCTGTGATGTGATGTGTCTCTCCTTTCTTTTGTGTCTCCCCTCCCCCGTAACACACATCCCTTCTGGCTCACCAACAGAAATAGATTTCCCTCTGGCGCCCTCTTCTCTATCTGTGCGATGCAACTTTTCGTAAAAGGAGAGAAATCAATGGTCGATTTTCTGCATGTACTTTATGTGTCCATCGTTTCGGGGGGATGGTGTGGTCGCACATGAGAGAGAGAAAGGCTTTTGCGCTGCTGCTTTTTTGCCGCTGCCTGACGCAGCCCATTTTTGCAAAGTGTGTCCGATGCCAATGATGGGGGCTGCTTGGGGGGATATAGTGGCATACCACCAAGAGAAGAGAAAGGAGACCGTTATGCAGGAGGAAAACTTGTTCAGAGATTGAGGCTCGAGATTCTATTTGGAGAAGAAGAAGAGGAGCCTATTGCTGCCACACTTACACGCCTACCTGACCTGGCAGAGAGGGGGAGCCAGTGTGTGCTATTTCTTCCCCACAGAGAAACCAAAGACGAGCAAATCCTGGAGGGGGGAGTGTCCTTAAGGAGACATGAACAAGAGGAACTGGGCTCTTTCCTATCTCCTCTTTCTGTTGCCAGTTAGAATTAAGAAAAGAGAGACGTACACATAATGAGGGATCCGCTTAAAATATCTCCGTCGTACTTGTGCAGTTGCATGTTGGCCCCCTCTTGGGCGTTGACAACGTGGGCAGCCGAGATTCATATGTTCAACTCGCAACGTAGACCCTTGGAAATCTCATACCACATATTTTATTTTTATTTTTTCCCTTTCTTTCTTGCTACGATAGGTAGTCCTACCAGAAAAAAAACGTCATGCCAGCCTGATCGTATTGCCAAAGGGCGCTTACGACAATATGAGGCTGAACAAAAATGCGAGACATACATGTAGTAGCTGGGATTTCCGCGCCCGCCAACATTGTCATACAAATCACACATACTACTACCAACATACAAATATCCGACGACAAACGATGATGATTCGAATTCTGGTTCCCGAGACATGACGGAAGTAAAAAAACAAGAGAGAAAAAACAAGAGGCTGACTGTGATACTTTGTCTCTCAAACACCGCACATCAGAGCCACCGTAGACAAACTGCAGTACCTGTTCGTACCTAGGGTAGAATACGTAGCTCCGGAGAGCCCCGTGTGAGACATTTGGTTCCTTGTAGTTTGAGACAAAAGACAAGAAAAAGCACAGCCTCCGGATGAGCAAACCAGCAAAGATTCCGTGTTTTCCGCCCTTTTGAAGAAAAAAGGATTCGTATCTTGGTGGGAAAGGGGGAAATAGCAAACTAGCAACATGTTTTGAGCTCCGTCTCAGGTGATGATGATTTGGGATTCCATGGCCCCCTTTCATATTTCCACAACCTGAAGTGAATATACTCGCTTGGATTGCTCAAGCTCCCCATCACCACCACAGCCGAGAACCCTCATACAACAATTCTCAAATTTTACCCAACCTCTTACTCTCGTTATTCAAACAGGAATCTCAAAAAGTGCAACACATGGCATGACGCCGCCATCACATCCATCATCTTCTATACAATTGCTCCTTTCTTACCTGTTCTTTTCTCCCTTTCAGACTCGTTCATCCCAGCCACCTTTTGTCTCCCCCCCCAAGCAAGGAGAATCTCGAAAATGATCTCTCGATCCGTGAGCAGCATCGTTCAAGTCACACATCGTGCTTCCCGTATATACCCCCCGGCATGAATAGTATGCCACCTTTGATAGGTAGCGTCTGATGAAAATAATCCTCTCCATGCCGTAAGCATTTCATCAGATAGCAAAAATCGCCTCTT